TTTTACTTCTTCAACTTACTTAGCGATTTAACAAAGAGGGGACAATAGCGGCAAGAAACTGAACAGTCTGTGCTGGTGTACTTTTGTTCTTTAGATTCACTGATGGGCCATACAGGTAAACCTACATAATACAGTATATGGTTAATGGCTGGGCAATATAGCAGTAAAGACGTATTCAAAGTCAAAGTTATGGCAGTGTACTATAATGGGTCAGGCGAGAATCTGCTGCTAGTACCTCATTGTAGACCTCAAGATAGTTACTATGTCAACTTACTGTTCAGTACATGAAAGCTGGAACTATATTTTTTCAGGTCAGTATTTATTGTGTGTACCATATTTTTTCAGACTATAAAGGCACACTTAATATACATTGATATTCTCAAAAATCGACAGTGCACCGTATAATCTGGTGCACTTTTTATGTTAATTCTGGTTGTGCTTACTGATCTCGAACCGATTTTATGTGGTACACGGAGCTCAAAAATCTGTCAAAATGTTTTAGTATGACTTTGGTAAACTACAAAGCCACACCGCTTGATGGATTGTCGGAGCATTTGGATACCATCGTCGGGAGCCTCACATAGTAAAGGTCGAAGTATGCGTTGGCATTTATGACATCAATGAAATGCAACAGAGAATATATGTCCATTCATATATACGGTCTATGCTATGACCTGCTGATTTATAATCTCTGAAAAGTTTCACATGAACCATCTCCAACGTAATAGAAGCACAGACCAGACTCACCATCAGCAGCACATCCTCACAGAAAGAACACATATATTCCACTGAGTCGTGTCCTTTAGTCCGACAGAAGCTGAACCGCATCAGCGCACAAGAAGTGAGCTGTTTGTTTTTTTTTCCAGTGCTTATAGTTTATGCAAATTAGCCATGTGGTTTTAAGTTTTGTTTCTGTAAAACATAAACGTATGTGTGCAAAGCTGCATTAAACACATTATTACTTAAAGTACATTTGAGTTGTCCTTGTAGGAAATAAAAAAAACAAACTTAAATTATCCACCCACATTCACATTCATAATACACATTCAGCAAGACAGGGAGGCAATGCCGGCTGAATTATGCCTCAGTCTGCCAATGGATCGTGGATGCCTGGGTTAAGGGATCAGTCTCAGATTCCGTCTGTTTGTTTTGCTTAATTGCACCTTATGTATGAAAATAGACAAGAGAATTGAACATTATTGATATTGCACCTTATAATCCAGTGCACCTTATAGTCTGAAAAATACTGTACATTTTCTTTGCACTACTAGGTAAGTTTTGGCTACTTTTTGGCTATGCAATAACATTTAAAGTGCCCATACTACGCTATTTTCTGATCTATGATATAATGTTGTTTCCTCATCAAAAACAGACCTGGAGTTGTGTTTTGTTTCATTCACAAACACACATAAACTGCATATTTAGGCTGAGTTCTTTTCTCAAACTGACAACATTGTTCCAGGACGTGCTCCACTGTGTTTTTAAACCCCCACACCTTCACTACAATCATTTGGATAACTTCAGCCCTGGAACTGCCGATCTCTAATAAATAAAAGACAAATGCAGCTGTCAACTTGAAAACTACCATTACATGACATCACAAGGTGGAACTGAGCATTTTAAGATTTGGAGATGTAGATGAGAACTAGGACTACTAATGCAGGATTCCTCAAATATGTGTGAATGAAACAAATACAACTCCAGGTATGTTTTTGATGAGGTCCAATCCAGTGCAACTTTATTTGTATAGCAAATTTTACCAACACAAAGTCTCCAAAGCACTGCTCAGAATAGGCACAATTTAAATTAACCCAAATAGAATAAAAGGTAGCAACATTATAACATGTCTAAAAGCTCAAAAGAGTCAATTATGCATAACAGAGGAGCTTTAGCTGTCATTATACAAACTAAGTACTAAAGTGGTGCACTCTGCTATTTATTTTTTGCAGCTTCTTATTTTTTAACAATAATGTAGATTTTTAATTATTTTTATTGTGACTACCTCATTGGATACTATTGATGGGTAACATTAAGAAGTTGTCGATACGATACATACCTTGATACACAGGCCACGATGCGATACATATCTTGATACAGTGCACTTTGATACGAAATATTTCAAATCTATTCGATACAGTTCAATAAAAAATAAAAGCTAAATCATGACTGTGATTCTAAAAGACTTTGTTAAACCACTTCTTGTGCAAAGTTAATATGAAAACACGCCCATTTTAATCCCCAAAACAGTGAAAATGTCAAATGTGTTGCATAAACAAGTTTCCGTCCTCTGAATAAACAACAAAACTGTAGTGCTGTAACCAAATCATTTAGTAAAATATACCAAATATCGATACAGCAGCCCATGATATCGATACTCTATCATTACATTAAATTGTACAATATATTGATATTTTGATATTTTTGCAGACTCCTATTGGATACTGTCATTTTCCAACACAGAAAATCAGCAGACTTGTTTCTTTTTTTACATTTTTTGATCAATATTGCAGTTTGAAAGATCCAAAATATAACTTATCAGGCGTGACAGATTCTAACTACAGTATATAGAAGACAAAAACGCGATTTGTCGTCTTTAATTCTTATAAATTAGACAAGACTTTTAATCTGTGTCGTCTGTTACATCACTATTTCTGTGTTGCAAAATGAAGATCAATTAAATATAAATATAAACTTTTTTTTTTTCAATTTTGAAATGATAAAACAACCCACTCCTCTCTCCACACTCATTATACACAAAACTACAAAACAGCTAAAAAATACACATACACACTAGAGCCCGACCGATATATCGGTTGGCCGATATTATCGGCTGATATGGGCAACTTTAGGCATATCGGCTATCGGCCGATATGCTTGCTGATAGGGGCCGATATTTCACGTGGGCATGTTATACCTCGTTATAAAGCTTAGACTCTCTACATTCTGTTCATTTAATCCAATTTACAGACAGATAAATGTCCTAATATGTGGCTCCACATCAGTATTTTATCTGCGGAGTCATGTACTGTCCCTCACAGAGTCACGTGTGTTTGTTTAGACCTGCAGACACAGATCCAAACACTGAGATTATATTCTTTTTACGGACAATCGGTTTGAGTCTGGATTAAAAGGACATTTATTAGTGCAGATTTGTGATGTGAGGAGGAGCCTGTATGAGCGGTGAGTGTTGGAAATATGTCGACTCTGAAGCTAGTTTTTGTCATTTGTTATGGGTTAGCTGCTGTAGCTCCCGCACATAAACAGACTGTTTTCTATTGGTCTGTTCTAAAGTGACTATATTGGCCGTATATTTGCTACTGGACCTGCACTGATATGTAAATGAGCTGTGAACAGACGTGTGAATTATCACATTTGCGCATATAATTAATTACTGCGACACGCACGTGTTTACGGCTAAAGGCTAATAGCGCTACTTTCTTTACTAGTTATGGGTCCGTCGCGAACGAAATGACTCTTAGAACCGGCTCTCTTTAAAGGGAACGACGGGAGCCTGATCCTTATTGGGAGCCGTGTTTTCTCTTTTTCTCACTTTTTTTCTCTTCACGCCGCGTGATTCGTGGTTTGACAGCGGCAGTGGCTCAAAACGAAACTTTGAGAAATTTGCGTGTACGTAGGATTAAAAAAAATAAAAATAAAAAAAAACGAGCATATTTGACTGTAGTTTAGCATAAAATAAATAAGTCCCGGTTTAGTCCTTTTTCAGTCCTGGTTTAGACCTGGTTCAGTCCTGATTCAGTCCTGCTTTAGACGTGCTTTAGTCCTGCTTGCAACAAAACAATCTGAAGAGCCACTTGGGAGCCAAAAGAACCAGCAGCTTTTAGTGAGCCGAGCCAAAAGAGCCGGTTCTCTAAAAAGAACTGGAATACCCATCACTAGTGTCTAGAATGTGATGCAAAAATGCCATTAAGCCAACCTACTGTCTGTAAATATGATGTAAAGAGGCAGAATAACAATAAATGTTGCCTAAATAAACCCAATTTAAAATCCACCAGAGCCAAACCTAAGTTTTTTAAACAATTCAACATTTACAGTGAATTTTTACATCACTAAATATATCGGCGATTATATCGGCTATCGGCAGCGCCAACTCCCATTATATCGGTTTCATATCGGCCACAGCAAAATCCATATCGGTCGGGCTCTAATACACACACTCTCTATTGTAGTATCCTCACTGGGTATTGTATTCCTATTGCAGTATCCGCCGTGTATCCACATGTGCACCATTGTTCCATCAGTTATATAACTAATGGCCTCAGAATCAATTAAAAGTTTGATGTATTGACTAAATGAATGCTCAAAGTGCCGTGTGTCAATGCTGTAGCCAAGTTTAATCGCTTAAAAGCACCATGTTCAGATCCGCAGCTGTTTCGGATGGTTTCAAAACGGCAACAGACGCCCATGTTTAAAATTCAATTAAATCTGCCATTTTTATATTTGTTTACCGTGCTCTCTCGGTAAAGCGTGTTTTCAAATTGCGCGTTTCCTTCTCCAGACAGACATCACGTAGGGATGTGAGTGTTTCTTTGATAGAGGATAACACCAGATGCCCTCCCCTGTGTCCGCCCTTCACGCGCTTCAGTCTTGCTTCATAAGAACTACGACGATATGACCTTTCGTTTCTGTTTGACCCCGAAACTCAACACACAACAAAGACATGATTCCTGTGTGCGTGGACACGAATGGACTCTTTGTTTATAGGGGCATCCTACCTAAATTTCCATCAACCTAAATTTCCTTTGTTGTGCCCTCAGACAAGACACTTCAAACACATTGCCTAGTGCGGCTACAATGGCTATAATATCTTACCATCAGAAACTACGGAGTATAAGTAATTGCTGCAATAGCTCTTGAGAGGTTTCGACAAGCCTGTAAAGTGCACTACAAGTGGAGGGCACTGATATTATTAGAAAAAATATATAAATAGATCTTGATTTTCTTTGGTCTATTAAATGTAACTATATTTTTTGGCTTTTCAGGTTAAATCCCAAGAGCAGAAGCAGTGTACCAACCAGGTAAGACTGAAAACAAATCCAATGAAAACATAGCATTTTTGTATTTTTATGTAGGTAAAATTTAAGAAGCTATAATTGTTTTGTTGGTGCAAATTATACCTTATTTTTCGGACTATAAGGGGCACTTAAAATCCTTAAATTTTCTCAAAAATCGACAGTGTGCCTTATAATCCGGTGCACTTTATATATTAATTTTGGTTGTGCTTACTGAACTCGGACCGATTTTATGTGGTACACGGCACTCAAAAATCTGTCAAAATGTTTAAATACGACTTTGGTGAGCTATGAAGCCACGTTGCCTGATGGATTTTTGGAGCATTACAGCTACCGTAGTCAGGAGCCTCGCGGAGTAAACAGCGAAGTATAGTTCTGCATCTGCATTTATGACATCAATGAAATGCTACAAATAATATATATCCATTCGATTTATAATCTGAAAAGTTTCACATGAACCATCTCCAACACGTCAGAAGCACAGAACAGACTCACCATCAGTAGCACATCCTCTGTCACAGAAAGATCACACATATTCCACTGAGTCATGTCCTTTAGTCTGACAGAAGTGAGCAGTTTTTTCAGCATTTATAGTTTATGCAAATTGTTTCGCTTAATGTGCTTTATAATCTGGTGCATCTTATAGTCCAAAAAATATGGTAATACTGTGAACAGCTAAGATTATAATATGGAGACTGTACTGTATCAATGTTCATGATGTCCAAATCTGTAGTTTTTTTTTTTTCTTATTCAAATCAAGTTGTAAGTGTTGGTATTTTGACAAAACAAAGCTATATAGCATTACAGATTCTGATTACGTTCTTTTGTCCATCAGCGCTCCTTCTCCCAGCCCCACATCTCCTCGCTCTCCCTCGTGGCCCATGTTTTCTGCTCCGTCCAGCCCGCACCAAATGTCCTCCACCTCCAGTGACTCCTCCCCGGGAAGGTGAGTCTACACTGAAATACTACTTATATTCTAGTGTCTCTGGTAACTCTAATGACTTCACTCAAACGCTACTGAATAAAAGGCAAACGGTAGCTGTCAACTTGAAAACTACCACTACATGATCTCAAAAGGTGGAACAGAATGAAACAAAACACAACTCCAGGTCTGTTTTTGAGAAGGTAACAACATTATGACATGTATAGGACCTTTAGATCATTTATTAGCCTACTCTCATAGATAATAAAAGTCCATATAATTAGAAACACGTGTCTTAAATTCACTTAGATCAACTCTGACTTGTTAGACGCTCCCATTTTTGTGTTTTTTTAATAATGAAAATACCACTAGTTGTTGGTAATGCCCACCATTTTAGACATATTATCGTGTTTATCCAAAAAATACCATGCTGATTTATGTGTGGATGTAATAAAGTGTGATCCAGCACATTGCATTGGGGCCAAAGGCTATATATTTGGATCAGTCTAATTACAGGGTTTACTCATTGGTGACATTGGTGAGCTGAGTGCATGACAGAAGAGCGCTGTCTGGTATTAAGAGCCAAAAACTCAAGACTGGAGCCAAAGGAGGAGGCACTAAACCCATGGAGACCTAATAAAGCATGGAAAGAGAAATACTAGACTTTGGTATCCTTTTCTGCGCAGTGGCTATTCATGTTCCAAACACTTATATAATTTTAGTTGAGAATATTTTTATCGGTGTAGTAATAACATTGATTAAACACTTCTTTTACATGTAGCAAGTTAAATACATGCTTTTTGATAACTTAACTTAAAGGTGCATTGTGTAATTGTGTGTTGTGTGGGGGTGGGTGGAGAGTCCCTGCCTCAAGTGGAGGAGTTCAAGTATCTCGGGGTATTGTTCACGAGTGAGGGGAGGATGGAGCGTGAGACTGACAGGTGGATCGGTGCAGCGTTGGCAGTGATGCGGTCGCTGTATCGAACCGTTGTGTTGAAGAAGGAGCTGAGCCGAAAAACAAAGCTCTAGATTTACTGGTTAATCTATGTTCCTCCCCTCACCTATGGTCTAAAAGTTTGGGTAATGACCAAAAGGACAAGATACAAGCAGCCGAAATGAGGTTCCTCCACAGGGTGGCTGGGCGCTCTCTTAGAGATAGGGTGAGGAGCTCGACCACATAGAAGGAGCTCGGAGTAGAGCTGTTGCTCTTACATGTTGAGACGAGCCAGCTGAGGTGACTTGGGCCAGGAGTGCCTGCTTAGATTGCTGCCCCCGCAATTTGGCCCCAGATAAGAGAAAAAAAAATGGATGGACACTAGATGTGTAGCTTTTCTAGTGGAGAGTCTGTCAATTTTTTTTCTCCATGGACATGTTATTGTTTTGTCTGGAATGTTTCACAGTATGGTATTAAGCCTTTCTATCTTCATGAAGACAAAACCAGTCCAAGTTATAGGTCAGATCTGTGGAGATGCGACCCTGCTCACAGTCAGAATGCCTGTTTTTCTGTGTATTCATCTGTATAAGCCATAAAACCACCTGTAATTGAATGAATGTAAGGTAGAACTGTTTAATGTCATACTGTGAAACAATCCAGGCAAAGCAATGACATCTCCATGGAAACAAGCAGATGATGGACTCTCAATCAGAGAAGTTGCACAATACACCTTTAACCTCGGCTTTGTACTGCATTTGACCCTGGTGAGGCACATCCCCGTAGTGAAAACCATTTCAGAGATTTCAGTCACTGAAGCTCATTGAGAGAAGGCCAAGGGTTTACAACGCTCTCAACAAAGCTAAGGGTGGCTTCTTTGAGGATTTTAATTGAAAATATATATAACTTTTTTTTTTTTTACTTGAGTTATTGAATTAATTTTATTCCTTTACTACATAAGTTCTTTTTGTTTTTTTTTTTTTTTTTTTTTACATCATATATACACTACTGGTCAAAAGTTTTAGAATGAAAAATAGAATTTTTCAGTAAAAATAGAATTTTTCAGTCCAATGAAGAGCTTGAAATGGTACAAAGGTAAGAACTGAACAGACAGGGGTTATAAAAAAAAGATAAAAGATACAAAACACAAGTCCAAGCTCTGCCAGAACTATCTGAGGAAAAAAGAACAAGATGGTGAAAACATGGAGTGTCCAGCACAGTGTCCAGACTTAAACCCATCGAGCTGGTTTGGGATGAACTGGACAGAAGAGTGAAAGCCAAACAACCTACAAGTGCTACACATTTATGGGAACTTCTGCAACAGACTTGGGAAGAACTTTCTGAAGAATATTTCTATTGTAAGAAGAATGCCACAAGTGTGTTCAGCTGTTATATCTGCTGCCAAACGTGGACACTTTGATGAGTCAAAAGTTTAGAATACATTTTGGTCTATAAATTGATTTTTTTTATTCAACTCAAACAGCTTTTTTGTTCTGTGCTTTCATTTAAGAGTGCAGGAAAAAGGTTATGTCCAAACTTTTGTGTACATCTATCCAAAGCAGCATATTATTTGAAATGTAGTTCCCTGTAGTTTGACTCATCTGTCTGTGTGTGTTGCAGTATCTCTGGGAGGAAAGCGCGGGCTCTGTACGCCTGCAAGGCCGAGCACGACTCAGAACTGTCCTTCATCGCCGGGACCATCTTTGAAAACGGTGAGTCACTTTGGACAGGAGGTGAGAGACCATACAGCCAATGTGAATCCCGATGAAAATAATGATGGACTTAAATAGACTTGATTCTTTTTTCCATGGGGATGCTGTGGCCTGATGTCTGGAACCTTAAAGGGACAGTCCGGAATTTTGGACATAGGGCCTCATTTCCTAGTGAGCCAGAGTGTTGGAGACGTGTGGAGACACTTTTTTAAATAGTCCATCCAGTCCTTGTATTTGCAGACATCGCAGGTGCTAGGCTAGTGCATGTCAATGGCCATAGTTAGCCTGTCACTAAAAACAGTCTTACCCACTCCATAAAACACCCAAAGTAAAAAATCTGTTATTACGCCAGACTGTCCACGTGAATGTCTGTGTTGATAGAATAATTTCAGAAGTAAAACCAACCTTGAATTTGAAAAATGTATGTCAGTGAGCAGTGAGTTATACTTCCTGATAGAAAGCTTGACAGCGGCGGACTGATATATGAGAAAATAGTCCCTCAACATGCAATTATTAATGTGATGCAAGGTTAGTTTTACTTCTACGATTATTCTATCAACACAGACATTTACATCGACAGTTTGGTGTAGTAATAGATTTGCTTCAGGTGTTTTGTGGAGTGGGTAAGACTGTTTTTAGTAGCAGGCTAACTATGGCCATTGACATGCACTAGCCTAGCACAAGCGACCTCTGCAAATACAAGGACTGGATGGAATATTTTAAAAAGTATCTCCACACGTCTCCATCACTCTGGCTCACTAGAAAATGAGGTCCTATGTCCAAAATTCCAAACTGTCCCTTTAACCCAGCAACACTCTGGACAACGGACAGTTACTGAGACCCGGCAGGAAGGTTTATTTCCAACCAAGAACACTCCAATTCTATTATAGCAAAGCCCGTCATTATTTAGCTAGAGTAATGTTCCCTATCACAAAACATTATTATTTCTGTATTTCCTGCGGTTCAGTACTTTTTTGGATGAAGCCACAGCACTTCCTCTACTAAAATATTATCATAGAGATTGTTATATAATGACTCCAGTAATATGCCACAATGTCCAGCGCTTAGGATTTTGCAGCAGTTGTCATTTGGATGCATTTTCTTTTCACAAAATGGCAATTTAAAACATTAAATAACTATGAATTATTAAACTCAAATAGTATTTTCTTCAAAGCACATCTATTTTTTTATTGTCCAAGCTTACATGGAGTAGCAAAACTCAGGTGCGCCCCACACTACAAAGCGCATGGGCCGGAGTTGTCACATATAGAAACCAGAGAGAACTTAGTTACACATAGAGTATACAGTGGCTATTTCAAAGTGGCAGTGTCAAGTACCAGTGAGTCTAGGTTTCCAAAGCTCATGGTTTATCCACTACACCACAGCTAACACACTTGGAGCTGTTGTTTTTGGGTATTTGGTTTGCTCAAAGTTGGGATGTTAACTAATTAAATGTGCTAAAAATAAGTCTCAGCCATTTCAGCAATTCTCAAATAAGAAAAGTACAGATACATGCTCTCAAATGTAGTGAACTAAAAGTAAAAAGTAAAGTACAGATACCTAAAAATTGTGCTTAAGTATTGTCAAGTACCGGTAACCCTATAGGAGCTGTTGGTTTTCAGTTTGTTTGTCTGCTCACCCGATCCAGTTGAACGTGTGTCAGCTGTGAAGAATACAATGTACTAGGTAATAAAGCAGTTCCAAGCAGGATTTGAGCAGTCTCCAGTGTACCATTCCAATATTATTACAATACACCAACAAACAAACTATCAGGTGTACCCTCACTACCATATTTGACTGCATTAGTCTGGTTCTTCACTGCACGACATTTCTAGTGGAAGGTCCACCACCTGCTTGTCTCCATGGAAATGTTATTGCTTTGTCTAGAATGTTCCACACTATAAATTAAACCCATTTATCACGAGGGAGGCAAGCAGGTAAGCTACATTTCAATTCAGAATTGTCCAAAGAGAGTCCTCCATATTCACGGAAGGAATTATTGTATTTTTGAGTACTGTATTTTTCGGACTATAAGTCGCTCTGGAGTATAAGTCGCACCAGCCAAAAAATGTGTAATGTTTAATGTAAAGAAAAAAAAAAAAAGTCACACTTTTTTGGGGAAATTTATTTTATAAAATCAGAGACCAGGAACCGACATTTCATCTTGAAAGGCAAGTTCTAGTAATAACAATAGAACAGAGAACAACAGACTGTTAACGTCACATATGAACAGTTCTTCAGATAAACTATAACATAAACAACAGAACAGAACAAGTTTACCAAACTCTCCATCTCACTCCAAATCAATAAATCCATTGAATTTTTCATCCTCTGTCACTTCTGAGCAACTCCGCGGCCTCCAGTGGTAAACAGAGCGCTACTTCCTCTTCTGTGTAGTTGTCATCAGACTCAGCATCAGTTCAAATTCAAATTATTCTGGCTTTTCTGAATCCCGACAGGATGGTTTCAGTGTCACTGAAGTCCAGGCTTTGTCCATCCATCCAGTGACTTCTCAGAAAGTTGCATGGTGCATCCTCCCGGTGTCACAAGTTTCTCGCTCACTCCAAAATTTCTTTCTGCTGCTCGAATACCGTTTTCAGCTGCATATTTCGCTACTTTGCTAAAATATGATTTTCTTTTTGGGGGCATTTGTATTCAGTCTTCTCAGTTGTCTGTAAGTTTCTTTAAATTAAAAAATTTCAGTGGTACAGAAGTAATGGTGCGATCGACTGACATGATACAGACAGGACAGAGGCTCTTTCTGCAGGAGACATGCGCAGTAGAGTGAAGTGACAGTGGTACAGGAGAAATAGGCGTAGCCGATACTGACATTCATTTTAAAATGTTGATGTTTGTTTTTAATGCAGTCAATGGTCTTGCACCTTCCTACTTGTGTGAGATTTTGACCCCTCACCAACCCAGCAGAGCTCTACGATCTGCTGGGCCACATCTGCTGGAGGTCCCGGTGCAAACAGTGGGGTGATCCTTCTTTTGCAGTGGCCGGTCCAAAACTCTGGAACTCTTTGCCCATCGAGTTACGGTCCATCCCTGACCTGCCTTTGTTCAAAGCCAAACTTAAAACCTACTTATTTAGAACGGCTTTTAACACTTAGTGGCCCTGTGACACTTTCTTTATTTTAATAGTGTAATGTGCTTTGTTGACCTGTTTGTATGATGTTTATTGTTTTTTATCTTGTTTTAATGTTGTACAGCACTTTGGTCGGCTTTGGTCGTTGGAAGGTGCTATAGAAATACAGTTTGATTGATTGATTGATTGACACACAAGCCTAGAGCCTCTTGCAGCTGTCAGTGTGAAACTTTTAATATATAAGTTGCACTAGAGTATAAGATGCAGGACCATCCAAACCGTGAAAAACTTGACTTATAGTCCAAAAAATACGGTAAGAGAAACTCCCATAGTGAAATGCTAAATGGATATGTTTACTGTCATACTATGGAACATTCCAGGCGAAGCAATTGTATCTCCATGAAGTAGGCAGCGAACCCTCCACCATAAAAGTGACGCAGTGCTACTTTGAAATGTCGTCATTATAGATAAGCCAACATACAAAGTCAAAGTTCAATGCATCACCTCTTTTGAAAATAGGTCACTTTTGCCCCTTCAGAAGTTAATGAGTTTTGCATCTCATCTGATAGTGTGCGAGACCTTGAAAGCCTTAAATAGTGTTTGCAGCGTAAAGACTTTATTATGTAATGCGGAGCCGTGGCATCAGATGGGCCTGGGTTTGACCTTGGGGACATATAATCGTGGCCGAGGAATCCAAACAGACATTCAGTTCACACAGAGCACCCCCAGCTGTCCCAGAGCGCTCATATTACCGCCGCATAATGTCATATCACCAACAGTAAATAATAATAGAGATGTGCTCATTGGCCGTGCATCAGCTGTGAAGTCCCGGCACACGGAGGGATGTGGGTTTGCCTGTTTACTCAAACACCATTAGGACGTTTTATTACTTCTTAGAGAGTAAACAGTAAATACTATCTATCCAAAGCCTTCACATTTAATCACAGTGGAGATGAAATTGTCACTATTATCAAATCACAAAAGCCGCAATCATTCAAGAGTTCAAGAGCGTTCTGAAAAAAGTGAAATACTGTGTCCTTTTATTAAAACTAAATTGCAAACCTTGTATGTATTTATGTGTTTGAACAGGGACAGAAACACGCCACGAAATTAGGTCCATGAGAACGAGACAAGACAAGATTTTGACAAAATAGTGCAGTCCATTTTGCAATTTTGACTTCATTATTTTTTAATTATTTTATGTAATACTTTAGCGGTCATTATAGTACTGCAGGCTTTTTGGAACTACAGCGTCCCAAATTGCGTAACATAGCAGCTCCTAACTCCTCTTAACTCTTAACAGCTCTTAACTTTTTGTCCAAGCCAAAGGTAAATTCAGGAGGAAAAAACTCTCAAAAGATATTTTTTTTCTTTTTGGCAGTTTTGTCTCATGAGATCTTGCAGCATGAGATCTTGTACCATCCCTGTACTTCATAAGTAAAGTATTTCTGTAAATGTGCCAATTTTAGCTGCAATTTCAGCTGCAGTCCCCTGGAGAGGTGTAGAGATGCCAACAACAGACATATAGAAAACACAATATAATATGAATTATGAAATGTGTAAGATATAAGAATAAAAGTTTGTACAAGTCACTGAGCTGAATAACCTTTAGAGCAGGGGTCACCAAACTTTTTCCCTGGGGGCCACATTATGGCTCTTGACTGTGATGGGGGTCCAGGCTCGGGTCAACAATATAACAGAATTGTATGACCCAGACCAAAATGACCAGCAGCAGGCCTCATTGTGTAGTAGAAATTACTACCCTCCATCCACAATACTATATCAACACATCATTCCTGGCACATATTTGTTTATCGTTACTAGTGGTTTGCAAAAGTAGTAAGTACTTCACACTTTTTTTTAGTTTTTTTAGTTTTTTTTTTCTGTTTATTTATTTAATGAGACAGGGACAGTGCACAATCTACATTAACCTTAACAGGAGAGATGCATGTACCAGGTTATAGCACCAGAGCTAATTTCCACTCGTAGTCCCTGTGTAGGTTGATGTCATAGTTCATAAAATCAAACAAACAAAGAGAATGTCTTTATAATGTCCAGAGCATCATAACAATTATGTATCATCATTTTTTACTGAAACAAAATACAAGATGCAGAAATGTCATTACTTTCCAAAATGTTGTTTCATCACAAACATACCTGAGTCGTCTTTTGTTTCATTGAAACATGTTTACCACACAAATTCTCACAGATCTAAAAATAGCTTAAAGGGCCTCTAAAATGTTATAATGTTGTTATGTCCTCAAAAACATACCTAGGTTTGTGTTTTGTGTTTGAATAATCCATTATTATTAGTCTGTCTACATCTCCAAAGCTGAAAATGCTCTTTTCCAACTTAACAGCTACGTTTAATGTTTAGTTCAGTAGAAATGGACAATTCCAGGGCTGAAATTATCCAAATGATTCTTGTGAAGGTGTATGAAGTTTTAAAACACAGTGGAGCACTTCCTGTATTACCACATGACATCAGTAGGTGGGACAACGTGTTTTCAGTTTGAGAGAAAGAACTCAGCCTAAATATGCAGGATTTGTGTGTTAAACATGTATGAATGAAACAAAACACAGCAGAAAATTGTGTAACATGGGCTCTTTAATACGGGCTAAAAATTGCAAATATCGGCCCGGTGTATCTTCTGACAGGTACATCTCTATCTTCCTCGCTGTTATCTTCATCTTCATCACAGTTTAGTCTCCTTTGTAGCTGCATACCTCATATAGTTCTGCCAGTGCGCGCGCTGCCTGTCACTGTCAAGTTAATGGTACATGCAGAATAATGGGGAGCTGTTGACAAATACCTTCTCTACGACATGACATATGCACACCGAGAACTCATTAGGGCCCTTCAGTGGGATTCAGACAGAGGTGAGAAATGCAGCCTTCACTTCTGCTGTGGAGCTGTGGGTTTAAACATACCTGACATACACTAGTGCCATTTACCATAGTGACTTTATTTTCTGTCAGCCGTCTTGTGTTGTCTTAATTATAGTATCAAATCAGTCAAATCAATTTTCTGTTTTTATTTAATTAACATTTACAAAAAACATGATACAAACTTAACAGAAATATCAAAGGAAACAGAGGAATGAAATTTAAATGTTCTATATTACGCAAAATTGACTCTTGTGAGCTTTAAGCAGAGTTGTCGTTTTGCAAGTCTCAAGTCTTTGACCTCAAGTCTGAGTCAAGTCCCAGGTCAAATACAGGCAAGTTCGAGTCGAGTCTCTAGGCACTGGCCCATAAGTCCAAAAGTCCAAGTCAAGTCCAAGTCATCTGCTTTGAGCTTCAAGTCATTTCAAGTCTTTAAATGAAAGTGCCAAAATATAGCTTAGATTTTTGCAATTTACATGATTTTTAAAATAAATTGTGTTTAAAAAAATCCTAGTATATTTATATATGAGTATTTATAGAGTATATAAGTATATATATTTTTTCCTTTTTTAATGTTTTGACAACATCTTAGTGTGAATCATTACAGTCAGAATAGGAAGAATTCAGATTTAAAAGTGCTTCTGAAGTATTCTCACTGTCAAGCATGAAAACAAACCCTTGGTCTGAAAAAATAACCAAATAACATATTTATATAAGAGTTAAGAGAAATGCACATTTTCCTTTTTAAATGTCTTGACAACGTCTTAGTGTGAATCATTATGGTCAGAATAGGAAAAAAAACAGATTTAAAAGTGGTTAGTAACAGTTATATTGTCATGTAGTCTGCACTGAAGTGAAAGGATCATGTTCTGTGTACTTCCCTCTGTTTTACTGTATTGTACTGTACATTACTGTATATTACTGTAGTAGTTTTGAGGGTACATCGCAGTACTTCAGTTCCATCCAAAGTAACAAACAGAGAAGTGGAAGGGACATGTTCCAGTTTGTTCCTGTAAAATTAATCATGGCATGTATCAACCGTGAAGAGAAAAGTATTTTCTAAAAACATCTTTTTATTAAGAGAAGCATCGAGTCTTATCAAGTCAGAGTCCGCAAGACCAAGTCAAGTCCCAAGTCACTGACCTTCAAGTCCAAGTCAAGTCCCATGTCTTAGTGCATTTTATCAAGTCAAGTCTTAAGTCCTAAAAATAGTAACTCAAGTCTGACTCATGTCCAAGTCACGAATTGCAAGTCCACACTTCTGGGTTTAAGTCATGTTAGAATATTGTTACCTCATCAAAAACAGACCTGGAGTTGTGCTTTGTTTCATTCACATGTTTGAGTTTTTTTAACTATAAGTCGCACTGGACTATAAGTCCAGTGAGGGAAATTGAGGGAAATTTATTTTATAAAATCAGGGACCAGGAACCGACATTTCATCGTGAAAGTCAAGTTATAGTAATAATAACAACAGAATAAAGAACAACAGCTGAATAGGTGTTAATATGTTAATGTAACATATGAAGAGTTCTTCAGGTAACTATAGCATAAACAGAACATAAGTTTACCAAACTCTTCATCTCACTCCAAATCACAAAATCTGTTTAATTCTTCATCCTCGGTGTCACTTCTGAGCAACTCCGCACAACTTCGGTTTTCACGGGAGTCCAGGCTTTGTTATCCAGTGACTTCCAGGATGGTGCACCTGCCCAGTTTCCATGAAGCTGTGTTCTCCATCCCCGCTTTCTGCCAGTCCCTCACAAGTTTCTCGTTTACTCCAAACTTCCTTTCTGCTGCTCAATTACCGATTTCTACTGCATATTTCACTACTTGCCGCAGGACAATGGCTTTTTCTGCCAGAGACTTGCGCAGAAAACGGACACACAAGCCTAGAGCCTCTCGTGGCTGTCAGTCTGAAATGTTTAATATATAAGTTGCATAAGTCGCAGGACCACCCAAACCATGAAAAAAGTGCAACTTATAGTCCAAAAAACATTGTAATCCTTTATCATTAGTCTGCCTACATCTCCAAAGCTCAGAATGCTCTGTTCCACCTTGTGATGTCATGAAGCGGTAGTCGTAACCTTTTACCTTTAGATCAGTAGAGGTAGTCGATTCCAGGACTGAAATGATCCATATGACTCTAGTGAAGGTGTATGGAGTTTTTAAAAACACATTACAACACTTCCAGTATTTGCACATGACATCACAATGTGGAACAGAGTGTTTTCTATAAATACGCAGGATTTGTGTATTAAACATATGCGAAACCACAGCTCCGGGTATGTTTTCGACGAGGAAACAACATCATAACAGAGATCAGAAAATAGCGTAATGTTCGTCCTTTAAAGAAGAAACTGAAAAGAAGAAACAAAACTGCAAATCAAATTAACTTCCTGTCTGCAGAAGCCATCGAAGTTTTATTTTGCCGCGTTGGAGAATACCGTACATATGAAAGTTTGAGCTACACACAACAGTTTATTCATATATATTGGTAATAGCTGTGGGCCATATCGACAAAAATGAAAATCTCCTTTTTATGTGAAGCTGAAGCTGATATTTAGACTATATTAATGCAATCTATCAGACAGGAGCCAGTGAGAGCCTGTAAACGCTGTAGAAGAGATTGAAGCATTGCACACATGTGACCACAAAATGGAGAAATAATAACACTAAGCACCGTCGTTTGAAAGAGTACACGGCGGTTTTTATTCCCATTCTTTTATTGTTTTTCTTTTGAATACGTTTTTATCAGCGATCACTTATCTCCAAACAGAAGAGCCGCATTTTCCGCTCCATTCATTGTGTATTGGGAATTAGCCGTGTCGTATTTCAAGGCGCGTTGTGTAACTGTTCGGGAAGAGATGTTTTTACTTTGTCTGGAATGTTTCACAGTGAGGCATTAAACCTTTCTATCCAAGTGGAGGAATCAGACCATGTTACAGGCAGCGTTGGGAAGGTTTAGACCTGGTTTTAGACTTAGTTTAGTCCTGGTTTAGACCTGGTTTTAGACCTAGTTTAGTCCTGGTTTAGACCTGGTTTAGATCTAGTTTAGACCTAGTTTAATCCTGGTTTTAGTTTTAGTCCTGTTTTAGACCCAATTTCAGACCTGTTTTAGTCCTGTTTTAAACCTGTTTTAGACCCAGATTTCAGACCTGTTTTAGTCCTGTTTTAGACCCGATTTCAGACCTGTTTTAGTCCTTTTTTAGTCCTGTTTTAGACCTGTTTTAGACCCAATTTCAGACCTGTTTTAGTCCTGTTTTAGACCTGTTTTAGACCCGGTTTTAGACATGTTTTAGTCCTGTTTTAGACCTAGTTTAGACCTGATTTCAGACCATTTTGTTTTAGTCTCTGTTTTTAGAACTGGTTTATGATTTTCTCATGTTGTTTTTATACCTGTTTTATGACCTCAGTTTTAACCTGTTTTACAGGAACACTGTGACCTTCACTAGACCTCTATTTAGTCCAGTTTTAGACAAGAAATGTCCCAGGTGTTCCTATTCTTGTCCAATTTGTTACCCACCAACAGTCAAGAGGGGGGGGGTAGATTGTCATTTGTTAAACTAAAACTGTAAAACTATAATTTGAAAATGGAAAATGGAAATGGAAAAAGTCCTTCAGATTATGACTGATCCACAAATAAGTCAAGAATGGACAATGTCACGCGATCTTTTCACAGTTTTATTTACATCAACCCTCCCAACCGAGTGTGTCCCAGTTTTAAATAAAAAAACTGAAAAAATTGAGAATCTGGTCACTTTACACAGCTCAACTTTATGTAATTTGGGAGCTTCAATACAGTATAACGATTTATTTCTTGTGTTTTTCATTGTAGTTCATGCATCCAGAGAGCCGGGCTGGTTGGAGGGGACCCTGGGCGGACGGACGGGACTCATACCGGAAAACTACGTGGAGTTTGTATAGCCAAGAAACTGCATCACCAAATAAACTGGGAAACAAAACTGGACCAAACACCATTATTGAGCAAATGAGACTGGAGATGTGTTTTTTTTTTTAAACTTGCACTGGATTTAATGAAAGACCAAAATGGGCTGGTGGTATTGAGTTGGTGTTTTTGTTTTTTTTTTTTTTTTTTTCTTGAAGACAATACAATAATGGACTTGGAATGTGTTTGAGAACAGTAGCAGGACGGGAAAGTGACAAAAAACTGCCTACATGAAAGAGTTGCTTTGAAATGCACTTAGGAGCTGCACTGTCCTTCCTTTGGGCCCCTGGAAAAACCTTCACCTCACATGACAACAGGAAGCCAAACACAAAACAACTGGCTTTTAAATTAGAACTTTAAGCTTGAAATAAATACACCTAAATAAGGCTGCACAATATAGGGTATTTTTTATACTTTAAAAAGTCATAAGCATTTGAGCTCAGTAGTCACCCCTGCTTCTGAAAGTACGTTTCTCATTCATTTTTCTCAAAGGCATTCAGAAAAAAATACAATAACTAATGACCATAATGACCTATACATTTATGTAATATCTGCTTATGAAAATAGAAACCAGAGGTGGGATCAAGTCATTGTTTTGCAAGTCCCAAGCAAGTCTCAAGTCTTTGATCTCAAGTCTGAGTCAAGACAGGCAAGTCCAGGTTGAGTCTTGAGTCATTGTCCCATAAGTCCAAGTCAAGTCCAAGTCATCTGCTTTGAGCTTCAAGTCATTTCAAGTCTTTAAACCAGAGTACCAAATAAAGCTTAGATTTTGTAATTTGTATGATTTTTAAAGCACTTGTGACGACTCTGAGGAAGTACAATTTAGTGAGCAGTTGAAACTGTCAGGTACGAAAACAAACCCTTGGTCTGAAAAAAGAACCTAATAACATATTTATTTTTTAAGAGTTGTAGAAATGCAGATTTTTCCTTTTTAAATGTTTTGACAAGATCTTAGTGTGAATCATTACAGTCAGAATAGAAAAAAATCAGATTTAAATGCGCTTAATAACAGATATTTTGTCATGTAGATTGCACTGAAGTGAAAGGATCATGTTCTGTGTACTTCCCTCTGTTTTACTGTATTGTACTGTACATTACTGCATATTACTGTAGTTTTGAAGGTACATCGCAGTACTTCAGTTCCATCCAAAGTAACAAACAGAGAAGTGGAAGGGACATGTTCCAGTTTGTTCCTGTAAAATTAATCATGGCATGTATCAACCGTGAAGAGAAAAGTATTTTCTAAAAACATCTATTTATTAGGAGAAGCACTGAGTCTTATTTATTACTTATAGTCACAGGCCTCAAGTCCAAGTCAAGTCCCAAGTCTTAGTCCATTTTATCAAGTCAAGTCTCAAGTCCTAAAAGTCCTAGTGACTCAAGTCTGACTCGGGTCCAAGTCACGGCTTGCAAGTCCCCACCTCTGCTATAAGAAATAATAAGAAATTCACTGAAAGCTGTGTTTTAAATGTGCTTTTTCGACTGCGTTATAAATATTAGTTTGCAAGTAGCTGCTTTGCCTTGTCTTTGAGCTCTTAATATAAACATTTTGTGAAAAGTGTTGGGAAAAATGAATGGAAAATTTACTTCTGGGTCACTTTTGAGCTCCATGCCTGTGTGTTAATATTGACCTAATGACAAATATATCACATACATTTTAACAAGTCTAAATTATTATGGGGTTATACTGAACTTTTCTCGACATTCAGTGTTACTGCTTTGGTTTTGGGGCTGTTTGTTCAATTTTCACTTCTAAAATTACACACAGGCAATGCCGGTGAAGAGCCATGCCCAAGTTATGGAATCAGTCTGACAACCTTACAGTTAAAGGGTGAAGTGCTTTGAAGAGGGTTGATTACATTTAAACTGGAATTAAAAAAAAAAAAAAAGAAAGAAAAAAAGTTGAACCAGTCATTTTAAAATCATCGTTAGTACCAAAACGTCATAATAGCTTCTTTTTCGAATGATGCATTTGCTGTAATAATAAAATGTTGTAAATGTTGTGCAGGCCCACTCTTCCTGAACCTAGAGCGCAGGGTTAACACTGGAGAGGAGGCTGATTCTTTGGGACAGGACTGAACTTGGAGAGAGACCCGGGGCACATGGAGAAGGCGGGACAATGTTAGGACTCACGGTGGTTCACTCAGAGGCCACCAGTGCTCAGACAAGTCACAAGCAAACCAGGAGTTTGCTGCGACAGGTTCAGTACAGTAAGGACAGGTTCCTATATTACATTCAAGCGTGAGAAAATGTCCAATGTTTTTTTTTTTTTTTACTTGGATCTGGTATCCTTGTATCAAATCTGGTTGTTTAGGCACAATGGAAATATGTATATGCATTATAATAGTTATTACTCCCTTTATCTTTTTAAATATGTTTTTAACTTTGAATTTGGGAGCCATGTATTCGTATTGGCCAGCTAAATATGCGGTGTGTGTGAGGGAAGGGGGTTCATTTTTTTTGTTTGTTTGTTTAAAGGCGCTGTACCTGATTTTTACTGTCTAAAAACGTGGAAAAAATCAGAACTACTTCATTTTTAACAGTTTGCAGTGGTCCAAAGTTATTCCTCAGCTACCTTATGCATTCCAAACATCGTAATTATTTACAGCAAATGCTTTTCATAACTCTCACAAACCAGTGCAGAGCTTTAACAACTAGGATGCTAAGGCAATCTACCTGATTATCAGATAAAATACACTGATTTCTTATTCAATGCAGACAACAACCAGTGGATTCATTTGGACCTCAAGAGCTGCATACAGTATATACATCTGTACTGTGGCAAGATACATTTTGCTCACATATTTGGGAAAAATCAGGTACAGGACCTTTAACGTGACTGGGAGAATCTCACACAGTGCTTATCGTATTTTTCGGACTATAAGTCGCTCAGGAGTATAAGTCGTACCAGCCAAAAAATGCATAATGAAGAAGAAAAAAAAACATATTTAAGTCACACTTTTTGGGGGAAATTTATTTGATAAACTCAGAGACCAGGAAACGACATTTCATCTTGAAAGGCAAGTTCTAGTAATAACAATAGAAGAGAGAACAACAGACTGTTAACGTCACATATGAACAGTTCTTCAGATAAACTATAACATAAACAACAGAACAGAACAAGTTTACCAAACTCTCCATCTCACTCCAAATCACTAAACCTATTGAATTCTTCAACCTCGGTGTCACTTCTGAGCAACTCTGCAACTTCCGGAGGTAAACAGAGCGCCGCTTCTTCTTCTGTGTAGCTGTTGTCAGACTCGGCATCAGTTCTTTCTGAATCCTGACAGGATGGTTTCGGTTGTCACTGAAGTCATTTAAATGTTAAATTTTCAGTGGTACAGAAGTAATGGTTCGATCGACTGACATGATACAGACAGTACAGCGGCTCTTTCTGTAGGAGACATGTACAGTAGAGTGAAGTGACAGTGGTACAGGAGTAATAGAGGTCGTAGATACTGACACACAAGCCTAGAGCGCCCTCTCAAGGCTGTCAGTATGAAAATCTTCATATATAAATCGCACCGGAGTATAAGTTGCAGCAAACACCCAAAGCAGGGGAAAAAATGCGACTTATAGTCCAAAAATATGGTAATAACATGCATTAAAACAACCCATTACATTTGTGGTCACAGGTGATTCTTCAATATGTGGAATTCCTTTGAGTCCAAAGACATTGTGAATGAACCTTGGTCTGTTTGGGCTTCAGTGAACATTGTATAATACTGTAAAAGGGACATTTAAAACAGCAACATCCAATGGGAGTTTTTAAGACAAATGTGAAATGAGACTACTTTGTTCATAGCTTATTTATACTTTGAAAAGGCTGAGCTGATTTTTGTGGTGTGTTCATGACTTTGTACATACATAAAACAACATTTGATAAGGTATAATTTTAAGTATGAAATTTTATATTTTAGCTAACTACTAACTTAATTCCTTGTTGTTTGCCCAGATTTTGTATCATTTGAGTTTGTATGCAGCCTTAAATATGATTTCAGATGTTATGTGATGTTGAAAATACCATCAATAAAACACATGTCAGTGACTCTGTTGTATGTAATTGTTTTCATTGATTAAACATACTGCAATAATTACATTCCGAGCAAAATATGTGGGTTTCATTCATTATTAAAGTGGACCTATTATACAACATTGACTTTTTACCAATTTATAGCTGTTTCTCCATCTCATTTACTCACCGGAAGTTGTTTTTGTGAGCAATCTTTAAAGATTCACTGTGTAACTTTTCTGGTGGGGGGTGCCATGGTGATATTATTGCTTTGTCTGAGATGTTCCACTGTATGGCATTAATCAAATATATCTTGTATGTATTCAATTACGATTACAATTCAAAACACAAAAACATGCACTCTTACCATGCATGGACCCACCTGTAACCTTGGCTGGTGATGGGACCTGCTTGTCTCCATGGAGATAGTTAAATTAAACGAAATCCTGACAGACCTGGCCATTTGGTTGACTCTGACTCATTTGGAATTACAAAATAAACATTTTATAATTTTACCTCATGCATGGACTAAAGCTGCATTGCTTTTATTTTAGAGGTGTTTTTTTTTTTATTACATTTTTTGTAAGGCAACCTCACTTTTTCATTGCTTTGTCATAACATATATTCTTACCAGTCTTACCAGCTTGTCAAAACAATGATATTTACTGCTTTTGATAAAGAAATACAATTAATATTATGCAGAATTGAGTTAATCATTTTGACCCGGTCCTCCACAATATTTTCTGTTTCTCATGTAGCCCTTGGAAAAAAAAAAATGCAATCCCCTAGTGTAGAACATTCCAAAAAAATAACATGGAGTCAAGCAGATCCACTATAAAAAATTATGCAATGCACCTTTAATCTCCTATTTTTAAGACACTATTTTGTGATCACTCCCTGTTTTCACCTCCACTGGTAAACAGCCATTGCTCTGTAGTTACCATAGACCATATATATGAGTGGACATAGTTAGCGCTCTAGCTGCTGTGTGCCAGGAGGCTCTTCCAGACTCTTCGTTCTTCAGTTTTATTTTCTTTATCTGTGATACTCGTAGGATTCCTCAGCATCACATAGAAAAAAAAATAATCCACCACTTGCATGGTCTGTAGCTATCCATTGGAGGGGCTGACAGCTGCACAGCTCTTTGTTGTGATGATGGTTGCAACGACGTCAGCTCCCTTTGGACGTCATGTTTTCTCATGCAGAAATCGGCGAGCTTTAGGAATGACCAGGTTAATGGAACGGTTGGAGTGGAGTTTGAAAAGATATTATTATTATTATTATTTAACTTTAATAATAATAATAATAATAATAATAATAATGGACAAACTAGCCTATTAAATGATCAAATGTAATGATCTTGATAAGAAATTTTGCTAATTTCTGTTTAACATAAAAAAATTTCTCCATCTCAGGTAATCTCAAACCATGAAGTGAAGTACTTTTGTAATTTTTAATCCAGTTGGAAAAAAAAAAAAAAGAAAATTAATGGAGTTGAAAGTACAGATACATGCTTTTAAATGTAATAAATTCAAAGAAAAAGGAATGCACTGTAAAATCTAAAAATAAAGAATAGATACTTTTAAAAAATACAGTGCTTTTAGTTTTGTTCTCCATTACTTTGGTTTGATTGCTTAATTCCACTGCAACATTAACTGACAGTGACCATTATTTTGAAATGGTCCCATGTGACAAACTCAGATTTTTTCACAGGCAACAACATTTGCCTTGTTGTATTACTATATATAGTATAATGATCTGGGTTAAAGAGTGGGGGAAGATATTCAGCAAATCGTCAAGTCCTGAAACAACTATTCTGAGTCTAGCAAACTATTGTCCTGATTTCCGTGATCAAACCAAATACAATTTCAATAAGAATGGACGTTTGTATCTGGTATTCTGTGTTGACTTTTACCAAGAAAAGAAGGAAAGACCAAGTTGGAGCTGAGCGTTGAAAAACGGAAAACTTTATTGTGTAAGATGTCTGAACTTAGAGAAATCAGTTCTTTCAGTCAGTGATGACAAAAACAACAGAAAAAAAGAAAGGAAAAGTTGTTACCGACACAACGCTAACTCCAATATCAAAGAACAACACAGATAGCTTAAGTCAACATTGAATCAAATAGGTGAAAGTATCGACAATGACTACAGAAGAGGTGTAATACAGAAGTGATACAAACTATTCTCTTTTTTTTAAACAAACATTTTATACTTTTTGAACTTTACATTAGATTACATTTACATGAACTGAAATACGAACAAAACGGACTTCAGTGAAAGCCATAGCCATAATATACCAGTGAATAAGATCTGCCCTTAAAACAAGATAATATTTGCATGTTTTATTTTTTATACAAAATAGACTTTATCAGCCAGTGTGAGGGTAGTGCAATTCTGTTCGGCTAGGTTTACCACAATAATTTTATTCTCTATTTTTTTTTTAAAGTGACCAGTAAGTCCTCACAGCAATACAAGATACCACTTAAAATAACAAAAGTATTAGAATCGGTTTAAGTGCTACCTTTGTTTATGTCTATTTTCGTCTAAATACTTTGTGATCTTCTGCTTTGGTCACTCTGATAATATACCCTCATCTCCGCCCGTTCTCTTCCCCCGACCTTAGCTTCTCGAAAACACAGTGTACACTTTCCCACTATTTTACAATGACTTCACAATATATATTTTTTTCATTTTAAAATCAAACATTTCCTACTTGAACAACCTTTACACACAAACCAACGGAAACGAGAATCCGATAACTTCAATATACAAAACTTTTATATCAAAGGAGCCGGAGTTTGAAAAAAAATCGCATCTTGTAAATTAAAAGCATTCATATATTGATTGTGGGTTCCTGATTTTGACAATATATATAGATAGATATATATATTTATAGGCTAATATGGCTGTGTGTCTCCCTTTCGTCAAGGCCTTGTAGTTTTAAAATGTGTAAAAAGTATATATTAATAGGTTATGACCATGTAAAAATATTTTGTAGTAATATAACAGACATCAATTGCACTGGATATGTCTGCGCTGCAGTATAAGCCAAAATCTATGTACATCTATATGGCCTTTTCAGAAATAATGATATGAGTACATTAACGTTTTATGTTAAAGCTGGTATTTTTCAAGCACCACCACCATTGACTGCAATACTGTAAAGAAACAACAGTAAGGATAGCCACGATAATCCAGAATGTACGGTTAATCATAGAATAGTGGTTCACATCTACACCGGCGGCCATTTTATTAGCATAGAACACGCTGTCACTGTGGCTAAAGGCTATGCTAACCGACTGACGTTTACCGCTACGAAAGGAAAAAAAAACAAACAAAAGTACCATTTCGGATGAACATCTAGTAGTATTTTTTGTGATTTTGTTTTGCGACAGACTTGGCAGTTTTGTAGATAAAATGTAAATATATTCTATAAGGTGTGTGCTTTTAATTCACTGCACTATGAATGCTTTGGCCATCACAAAAGCTGGTGAAAAGGTATACTTTTTTAACCACCTTCAAATCCAAAAAATACAAGATCGGATCTGATTATATATTACACAAAAATACTTGAAGCTGGAACAACCTGAAGCATAACAATCACCATATTATTTTTAAATTATTATAATATTTGTATTTACTCTCTCTGTTGAAAAAATAAAATCTCTGCTAAACCTGCTAAGACTTTTGGCACTAGTGAAACACGTCTGGTCACGGCCTGAGCTTCAGTTCAAAAAGAGGATTTGGACACCACTTCTCACAAAAAGGTCACCTGCATGAAGGGGGGGGGCGTATGTACACGAGCTTTTCTCACCAATATTGGATCAATGAAGAGAACATATGCTGAATGAGCGAGTGGGGGACTGGGGGTTGGACTCAAAATGAAATTAGAAGTAGGGTGACCAGATTTCCAAAATAAAAAAAAAAAAAAACACTGGGACACTCCCAGTTTGTAGTGGTTGGTAATAATAAAATTGTGAAACGAGTGCGTAACAGGCTCTATTCAGGCGCTTACATCACAAACCAGGAAGATGTTTGGAAAGATGCGGTTACAACTTCTGGTGTAGTTACCGACACTGAGCTCACCTACCGACTGTCAGTGGCGGAGTTAGAAACTTGGGGGTCCTAGGTGAACTTGAGTTTGGGGCCCTCACTATAATGCAATTGTTCTTGTTCTTTATTTGAATTACGGTGGATTGGAAACTTGTCTTATTAGTTCGGTAGCCTCCTAGATAACCAGAGCTGAAAGTAGTTTTATATTTTTGCTCGTACAATAAAATTTTTGTTTACATCCACTACATATGATTATTATTTTTCTTATGATTACTGTTTGAAAGTAAACTACTCTCATTTAATGTCATATTCAGAGAAAATCAAATTGCTCTGAGGCCTCGGCCATTACTGGCATTGATGGCAATTGGTTGGGGGCCCCTCCAGGTTTGCGGGCCCTAAGCAGCCGCCTACTTTTGCCTAATAGTAGCACCGCCTCTGCTGACTCTGATAAAACCCACTGAAGTAAATGTGATCAGTACGAGCTGTGCTGTTTGGAGTCATCTTGAATTTGGTGCCCTCGTCTCTTCTGTAGCCAGTGGAAAGTGATCCAAACGGAGATATGGCTTTAATTGTTGTATAGCCAAACATAACGGAATGCTACAATGACATTTAGATGAAGAAAACTGGGCCTAGGAAGCTGTAATTGCAACTTTCCAAACGTCTTTCTGGTTTGTGACGTAAACGTGAATAAAGCCTATTAAGGAGAATTGTTCTGCACTCTGATTAAAGGGTCAATATAGTGATATTTTCTTTATGTTTTGGTCATTTTAAGCAGCTTTTCTGTATTTTACTTTAACAAATTACAATTTATACCTCTCTTTACTATTGGCAGGGATTAAATTGGTCAAAAATATGGACACCGGGAACATTTCTTGTATAAAACTGGGACAAATCAATGGTTTTTGATAAATCCACTGGGGCAAGGGTCACAGAGCTCAAAACTGGGACTGTCCCGGGTAAATAAGGACGTCTGGTCACCCTATTTAAAGATAAAACTCTTACTTTTGTGTTGCTCTTTTGTGATACACTAAAAAGTTAAAATGTGAATTTACATTTGACAAATGCTCTCTTTTAGATAGCCAACATTAAAATATATACTATACATTCAAAGTCAATGATCTCTTTGATTAAATACAATTATATTATTGTGAATCATTTGAAAATATTCATAGTTCATTTAAATATCCAGTTTTCAATTGACAAAAATTCTAAAAATTGCAACAATCACTTAAGTTTGCACCCAAATAAGTTTTGCATGAACTTAGTAAATATAGAATAATGACTAAAAAAAATACCAATTGGACAGGTGCAGTAGATCTGTGCTATGCTATGGAAAACGTCCTGACATTTCCCAATTCTGACTGGTACCACGCTGTCTGTTTGGACCACATCTGGGAATTCTTATATAAGAGCTGTGCATTTGAGTAGCACTTGGAGAAAAGCAACTGGAACCAAAACAGGAATTGCCTGGGTGGAAATTTCAAACCGACTACTGTGCGAACTATGTATGGGGGAAGTATAAGTCAAGGTTCTTTAGCAAAAACAGCTTTTGGGTGGATGGCTATGTGGAGCTCGGAAAGCTTAAAAAAGGCACTGGTCTTCCCTTCTCAGATACATCCTGTGTAAACATTAGCTTTAGCTTTCAGCTATGTGGACTGAGAAAAACGCACACTTAGAACACGAAAAAGTCCTTTTTGACTTTTGAAAAACTAGATTGGTCTAGAAAACTGCTTCTATTACAATTCACAGTTTCGTCCACTGGTGTCTTGTGGGTAAACAGAGAATGAAATTAAATATTTTTTTTTGTATTACATACTCACAACATGAATACTTTTCTCCAAGCTGGGGACCAAACTACAATCAGGCAACAATATTTCACTTGTGGACATGTCCTCTCGGCAAAAATGTGGTAAAACTATTGGAGGTGAGACGCAGCAGTAGATCTCCAAGGGGGAAAAAAAACAACTTAAAAAATTAAAACAAAATCCATTTTTGTCCTGCCTTAAAACATTCAAAACCAGCTCCCCATAGTCTTATGTCGAAGGACACCAAGTTGCAACCTCGAAGGCAAATCCAAGGTGGTTATTGTGCTCCTAAAATCCACTAAACATGACGTGAAAATGGCGTGGCGAAAAGTCCCAGATCCAAAGCGTCTGAGGTGGAGACTGGCAGGACAAGCAAAGACGAAAGCTGATGCCGCAGGTAGGAGTAATAGCCTACATGGTACAGTACAGATGGGGCTGGGGTTTGATTAAGGCATTGCTTCACAGTTTAAGGCAGTCATTTCGAGTGGAACAACAGGGGCTTGACACTCCCGTCCTTGAGTTTTGGTATCTGGTTGGAGATGATTTCTGCCAACATCTCGGGGAACTCCACACACAGCGTTTTATTCACAAACGTGTAGAAGCAGATCTGGAGGAGGCCTTCTACCATCTGTGAACACAAGCAAGCACACGAGGAGGTTAGAGACATGTGGTTTGTGTTTGAGCCCACGGCTAAAATTAGACAAAAACACAAACAGTGCATTGCAAAATGGACTTTTCAGGCTAGAAGTTTTCCATTAATTTGAGACACTGCAGGTGAATAGGAAAATTTTGAGATATTCATTTGAAACTTCTTTGTAGAAATGTAAGAAAAAAAGACAAGTTTTAATTTTATGTCTTTATATACAAATAAGGCATTTTATGTGTTAAAGCAGCCAAAATTTACCATATTTGGAAGACTTGAATCTCAAAAATAGATAGAGCCAGCTTTAAATTCGTTGCTTCATTTTGTTGTCATACTAGAAACTAAAACATATCCAGAGGGAATTTTGAATATCTTATTTAGCGTTTGAGTAAACAAGGTCTGACTGAGCAACTGCCTAAAAATTCAAATTTGCCTCATTTTGTGGATTTAAAACTCACATAAATCAGGCTTGGTTAGATGATTAGATATAAAAAAAAAAAATCCTTGAGAGCATTTCATCAAAATATTGTGAAGTTAAAGATTGTTCATTTTGGTTTATGTAAGTGCTACTTTTAAGCAGTGATCCTCATGTCCCTATGGGGAAACAGCCTTTGATTTAACAACTATAGATGTATGTTGATTTAATTATAAATATTTAATACCACATTTTCTCTCCTGGGCTAAAACAATGGCTTCTGAGCCGGCAGGCGTGTCAACATTAGGCTTCTTCAAACATATAAACATTCTGACTGATTGTATTATAGATGTATTGTGCAGCTGTAGATCTATTGTGTTTGATGAATAGTATTATAGAGGATAATAATACTGATGACTGAAAGGTTTTTATTCTGCATTCTTCTCTCTCATTTAATATCGCTCTCTCTTTTTAATTTTATGATGATTATTTATATTTTGATTTGTTTGTATTGTGATTTTAATGTATTTCTTATTGTGTAAAGCACTTTGAATTACTTTGTGTATATACAAATAAACTTGCCTTGACCTGCCTTGCCTAATGAATTTGGTAAATGTACATTACAGTTTGGACAATGAAGATGAGTATTTTTAGAAGATAATGATGCATTTGAAATGTTGTATTTATGGAAATTAGAACGCATTAATTTGGATTGATTTAAATGTGCTTTTAATTGTGGTTATTGTGGAAAGACTGTTACTGATGAAATGTTGATAGAGTTGGTCTAATGTAAAGAGTTTCTTTAATGTGTTTTGTAGCTGCTCAAGGACTGCAGATGGAAAGAAGCTTGCAGCTAAATCTGGCACAGAGCATCTTTTCTCTTTGAGATTAATGTGTTCTGTGCACTTTCCTTGTTTAAAAAAAAAAAAAAAAAAGAATGTTAAAACATCTTTTGGTGCAGAATTTCTAGCCAGGTTGGTGCCACCTAGTGCCTCCGCTCAATTTCATTTCTCTCCAGCAACTAGGTCAGGAATCAGAATACACTAGACGGTTTGTAAGAACCCTGGACGTACGAGTCTGGCCACCAGCCAATCAGCGAAGAGACATACATTCTGTGTTGTAAACTATTCCTGAGATTGTGGATTTAAAGCCAGAAGAAAGAGAATGTTTAGTGAATTTTATCAAGGGGAAAGACGTTATTGCTCTTCTTCCTACGGGATTTGGGAAAAACTTAATATACCAGTTAACCCTGTTAGTGGCGCATTACATATGTCACGACCAAATAGCAGCGATTGTTTAAATGAAAAAAGTACCCACCTACTGTCGAGCGAACGAATCCTAATGCTGCAAGGTCAGATGGTTTCCACGAAGTGAAACCGGCTGATGAATCAGGCTACAGAGTTTGTGGTGTTTGTTGTTTTGTATTTGTTGTGAGTGTTGTGTGTGTTGCTTTAGTTTTTATGTTGATTATTGTATTTTGTTAAATGTTATATTCTGTTGTCTTTAATAAAAAAAAAAAAAGTGCAGCGTCTCACCTTAGAGATATGTGATAATTTATGTAATTAGTTTGAGTTTGTAATTCCTCTCAGACAATTTTATTTCAGCATTTTTGTCAGTGTTATAATTACAGTACAGTATTATTCAAGTGGAACTAAAGTCAATACTAAACTGTGGATAAGGTTTCAATATCACTGTCTATCACTTTTTTTTTTGGTAATTTTAGTGCGAACTAGGTGAATTGGCAGCGTCTAAAAACTAGAATGTGCAGTCTCCTATGGTCATTGCAAATTTAAGTAGTTGGTGACATCACACAAGACTGCCCTGGTTACAGCCTGGGGTTTCTGATTACAAATGCCTCACTGCAAGGGCGGAGACTGACACATGGATACCTCTTAGACAGACCAATCACAGTGTTCTTCTTATGTCCAGACCACGCCCCTCCTCACGCAACATAATAGATTTATTTTATTTGTAATGTTTTTATTTAGCAGCTCTATTTGCAGTGTGGTTGTAGAGTAGGTTAAAGATTAGAACAAGAGAATAATTGTGACTATAAATTGGTTAAACTTGGTTAAGCATGAAGAAAGACTTAATTCATAGTGATCAAATACTTTAATATAAGTTTGTTAAGGAGTTAATTTAAAAATGATTCATACCCTATTTGCCTTAAGTCTTTTCTTGTGTGCAGCAGCTACTACAAAGTGTAGTATTAAGTTTAAAAAATGAGAGTCTCTGACCTCCTGCATGGAGTCCAGCAGCTTGGTGAGCTGGTAGAAGCGTTGCCAGTTCTGACTGGAGTTCTCCTCCCTTTTCACGATGGCCTTTCCCAGCTCTTTGATGTACGTCATGCGGATCTCGTCGAACACCGCCTGGCATTTCAGACCATCTTTTGGGACTAAACACAGAAACAAGGACATGGTGAGTTAAACATTCATTTATCGTACAGTTTATCAACAAGCGACGGGAAAGTCATGAAGCCCATATTAGGCCATTTTCAGATCTATGTTATAATGTCTCCTCATCGTGGACGTACAAGGAGTTGTGTTTTGTTTCATTCACACATGTTTAACACTCAAACCCTGAATGTTTAGGCTGAGTTCTTCTCTCAAACACTGTTCCACCTTGTGATGTCACGTGGTAATACAGGAAGTGCTCTACTGCGTTTTTAAACTTCATATACCTTCACTAGAATCATCTGGATGATTCTCTACTGAACAGAAAGTAAAAAGTAGCTGTTAACATGAAACTACCACTTCATGACATCACGAGGTGGACCAGAGCATTTTGAGCTTTGGAGATGTAGATGGACTCAAGGGTCTAGGTTTGCATAGGGACATTAGGAACATGTCACAACTAATATTTGGGGAAGACAAAATAGTCCCTACTAATATTTGCCATTTTATTTTAATAAACAAAAATATAAATGTATTCTGATTTTTTTTTCCAAACTCAATAGTATTAATTTAACATGTTTTAGTTCACTTTCACTTTTAGTTCACTAGTGATGTCATTAGTGGTGCCAGGAGCCTAAACTGGGAAAGCGGCAGGACAGCACCAGCACCCGAAAATGGCGGTTTGAGCAGGCGTGAGTGAAGACGCTGCACCAAACTTTGAAAAACTTTTCAAAAGGAGCTTAGTTGGGAGGAAAGGAGGGGAGGGAGGGAAGGGAAGGGAGGGGAGGGGGAGGGGGAAGTTGGGTTAATGGAAAATAAGAAAAAACACGTGATATGTACAATGGAATGTATATGTTGTAATATTCTTAATAAAAAATGAATGATTAAAAAAAAGGAGCTTACTCGGCTTCATCTTCAATTAAACTTGTTCTAGTCGCAACGAAAAAAAGAGCCACTATCACCACAAGTGCACCTTCCAAACGGAGCTCTACTCGTGCGCTTGGAGCAGCCCGACTCTACTGACAATATTCCATGGAAAAATGTCTTCACATGACCTCGCAAATATCTCATCACCAACAAGCAAAGGGAAATCTGCTACAAACCTCTACATCACTGTTATCTGCTAAAGCATCCTACAAGTACAAGTAACCTGCCCACTGGTTTCATGGGGGTAGGGGTAGGGTTCATAGGGATGTAATTTAAAAAAAAAAAAAAAAAAAAACATTAGAGAAAAAAAATCAGAAATTTTTATTTAATTACACTATGGAACTTTTCTTGTGGGGACAGAGATGTGAAGGACGTGTGTAGAATTTTCCAAAGTATGGCAAGAAACTTCTCAATCTCCATGGAGACAAGCAGGTGAAGCCAGGTTACAGGTCTGATCTGTGAAGAGGCAACCCTTCTCAAACTTAGAACTAATGTTTCTAGTGTTGATATGTTCAACAAATGCCATACTGTGGAACATTTCAGACAAAGCAATATGATCTATATGGAGTAAAGCAAGTACAACCACCAGACACGTTATTACAAATTACATGACTGTCCTCACTCTAATCTTATCTTGTGTAAGTGAAATGCAGTTTGAGTAGAGTGTAAAACATTTCAACATTTTATGTGACCATTGAAGCTGACAGTACACAATATATTTTGAATTTCTGGCAAACTCTTTTGAATAGATCCATGGAAGGCCTGAGCCATTCCAGTGGAAAATATGCTAAATCTGGCATGAATATGACTATAGCTTCTTTATGCATTTCCCCATCTCTTTATACTGGAACAAGTGCTGGAACATTTTACCAGACACTCGCTGTAGATTTAAAGGGCCAGATTATGCAATTTTCTAATTTGTGTTCCTCATCACAAACAGACCCGGAGTTGAGTTTTCATTCTAACACGAGGCTGGGTTCTTCTCTCAAACTGAAAACACTGTGTTCCACCTTATGACGTAATACAGGAAACTCCATACACCGTCACTAAAATCATTTAACCGTGGAATTACCGACAGAGGCTAATAATAAAGGATTACTCAAACATGTCTGAATGAAACTTGACACTCCAGGTATGTTTTAATGATTCAACATGATCAGAACATGTCTTAAAACTCACCGGAGCCAGTTTTGCGTCATGTAAGATCTTTTAAGCTCTCTCTCAACCTAGACTGATTGAAAACTGTCCATTGCTCATTTCTAGGGGTGCAAGTTTCACAATACGATATCATCACGGTACCGTATTTATTGCGATATCGAGGGAAAGCTCATGATATGGAGGGAATAAGTTAAAGATTAGAATAATTGTGAATACCAAGTTGGTTACACTTGGTCGTCACACTATAACTACGCCTTCATTAGCTGTAATAAATCATGAAGAAACACTTAATTCATAATGATCAAATAGTTTAATATAGGTTTATTAAGGAGATAGGGTATGAGTCATTTTTAAATTTGCCATAAGTCTTTTCTTGGGTGTAGTTACTATAAAGTGTTAGTGTATTTATTTATTGCGATATCGAGTGAAAGCTCAGGATATGGTGGAGAGGCTCACGATTAGGGATGTAACAATATCCCAATCTCTTACGATATTTAGACAATATTTTAAAAATATGCATCTCACTGTATGATATTTATTGCGATATTTTGCAGAGGCGACCAAAACTGTTAATATTCATCTTTTTCTTCTTAAAATGCCTTGACTAGACTTCATCCAAAGAACTAAAAGGGCTTAGAACTGTTATTTCTTTATGTAGTCTACACTGAAATGGAGCAAAGGATCATGGTCTATGTAGTTCCCTCTGTCTTTTTTTAGCTATTGCTGCACCGTAACTCTTCATTTAAGCAAAGAGACTTGTAATTCGATATATTGTGATGGTCCACGAACTTTGACGATACAATATCACGATATTTCGGTTATTGTGACATCCCTACTTATTTCAAAAATAAATGTTTCCATTGCAAAAAAGCTTGGCCAAAATTGAAGATATAAACACTTAAATCTATCAGAAAATGACTTAAAAGTAGTGAAATGATCTGTCCATGCTGCAAGATGATTTTACTTGACAAGTTATCTTAAAATAAACAACCTCTAGACGAAAATGAAGCCGTCTCAGAACTAGTAAGTAGAAAATAAATCTGAAAACAACATGAATAACCTGATATAAGTTTTAAAATCTTGGCCAGATCAGAGAAATTTGCAGTGTACTTTTCAGAGTACCTTTCTAGCAGTAATACTATTGTTTTTATTGAAGTAACAGTACTCTTACTTGGTTACTCCTCCTGCTATGAATACGTCTACAAGTGACAAAAGCTTTATGTTGACAATATGAAATGATTTGAAGATTTGTGTTTCGTTTTTGCCTTTATCATTTGAAAACAGTAGATATTGTGCATTATTTTGTGTTTTGTCTTTCACAATACATTAACTTTAACTTCTTTACACTTGAGTAATTTCTTGGACCACAACTTTGTACTTCTACTATATTATTTTAAAGTAACGCCACTCTCACTTGAGTAAAACCTTTGGCTAGTCCACCGCCGCTGCTAATAGCCCCGTATTTACACAACAGTCCATCAAAAGCCGAGGTTGGCTGAGAGCTGCCTGGCGTCGTGCCCGGGCAGATTGGAGTCAGTGGCCTATAGAATGCACAAAGGGGGTTGGTGCAGACAAAAATACTGTCCCATTTACATAATCAGATAAATGGGTTATGCTATCTACCCTCTCATCGTGGGCGGCCGCTGCGGATCAGGCGAGAAGGAAGACACTGCGTTTGGAGAGTAAATATCTCTGCCAGTGGATTGTGTAATGGAAAATACACACGGAATACTAGTTCAACGACATAAAACAGGAATGCTGCTGGAAACGTAGTAGTTAGGTTAGCACTCGTTTTGTTTTATTGGTGTTTTTTTCAGACTCTTAGAATGGGATGAGGTCATGGTTTCATTTTTTTCCTATTGATTACATTGTACTTTCCCATCAAATATCCAAAAGAAAAATTCAGAAAAGAACTCACTGTATTACAACATAAATCTGCTGTTTGTTTTAGCTGATCCTCATCTGTATTAAATAATATTGACCAACTGATACTTTGGAATGACATCATGCTCAGTGTGCTCTGCATGTAACTTTATTGGCAGAATGTTCAGTAGTTACCACGGTGACGTAATGCACACAGCAGAGGTGGGACCGAGTTGTTGTTTTGCAAGTCTCGAGTCTTTGATCTCAAGTTAGAGTCAAAAACAGGCAAGTCTAAGTTGAGTCTTGAGTCATGGGCCCAAAAGTCCAAGTTGAGTCAAAGTCGTCTGCTTTGAGCTTCAAGTCATTTCAAGACCTTTAAACCAGGGGTGTCAAACTCATTTTGGTCCGGGGGCCGTGTCCAACCTACTTTAATCCCAAAGAGACCGGATCAGAAAACTCATGACATATAAACCCCCAAAATAACAATAACTTTAAATATTTGTGCAGAGAAACACAAATCTATTACAGAAATCTTTTTTAATTGTTGAACTCTTTCTTTTACAAAATATTATAATATTATGAACAACCTGAAACTTTAAGAAAATTGCAATTTCAACACAATGTTTTAACATTAACTTGTATGCAAATAGGAATAAGTCAATTTTTCTTGGAAAATCCTGCACTCGACGTCCACTTTTCTCATTTTTGACATTTTGCTGATGAGGGTGTCACGGTCAACAGTCAAAACGATCGTCCTTTAAGAGCGTTTGGAAAGAGACAAGTCTTCATTTGTGCTGCTCTGGTGGGACGGGCCACGTACAGAGACGCTGAAGACGCTGCTGTGCTAAGCAGCGCAGAAAATTACCAATATTTTAATAGAAAATATAATAAAAATATTTTTGTAGAAAATCAGCCGAGGGCCAGATTAAAAGTCTTGGAGGGCCGGATCTGGGTGTATGTTTGACACCCCTGATTTAAACCAAATATAGTTTAGATTAGATTTTTGCAATTTATATGATTTTAAGTTCAATAGTTCTTAAAAAGTCATGGTATATTTATATATGAATATTTAAATGAGTTGTAGAATTGCTTTTTTTTTTTCTTTTTAAATGTCTCGACAAGATCTTAGTGTGAATCATTACAATCAGAGCAGAAAACGAATTCAGATTTAAAAGTGCTTAATAACAGTTATTTTGTCATGTAGTCTGCACTGAAATGGAAGGATCACGTTCTTTGTAGTTCCCTCTGTTTTACTGTAGTGTACTGTATATTACTGTAGTACATTTGAGGACACCACATCACAGTACTTCAGTTACATCCAAAGTAAGAAATGGAGAAGTGGGAGGGACATGTTCCAGTTTGTTCCTGTCAAATTAATCCCCCGCATGTATCAACTGTAAAGAGAAAAGTATTTTCTAAAAACATATTTTTGGGAGAATCATCAAGTCACAAGCCTCAAGTCCCAATCACTGACCTTCAAGTCCAAGTTGAATCCCAAGTCTTAGTCCATTTTATCAAGTCAAGGCCTAAAAATAGTGACTCAAGTCTGACTCGAGTCCAAGTCCCAACGTCTGGTGCACAGAGCTGTTAAAAAAAGTCTTAAAACTCAAGGAAAAAGAACACAAAATGGATTCAAACAACTCATTTTCAGAAGCTCAGATAAAATAAAGCTCAGTTAAAGTAAAATAAACTGAGTAACAGATCTTCTAACAGAGTAGTACTTCCAGGTAGACACTCTAGACTGTTACTATCATGTGAAACGTTGCAGCAGTCAGTAGTATAAAGCTTCATAACTAATATCAGGAAAGGGCATCTGGCATAAACCCCAAGCGGAAAAGAAACCTTAGTATCAAATGACAGTTTTTTTTTTAGATGTACCAACCAAGAATACTTTGCAACAGAATGTAACCGTTTTTTTACATAGAGGAAGTACAGTCAGATCTCTTAACTTGATAAACAGATAAACATGGTAGAGAGTGTTTTTGTTTTGCCTGGAATATTCCACTGTACGGCATTACATTATCCATCTCAGATCTGTTGAATAGAAGTCGTATTTGCTCAAAAGGACGGCAATGACACAGACCAAAATACAGTCTATCCTCGCGTGACCTTGCTGTATTTTCCAGTGGTGCATTTGAAGAGGGAAACTGTCTGGAGCCGGTGAGATTTACTCTAGACTGGACATCTGAAACTCAAATGGACCTAGATAAAAAAAATATACTCTTAATGTAACTCAACAGGACTACCCGCGAGACCTTTACCTTCAACTGTACTTTATTTGTTTTTATTTGGGTGAAGTACGCATGACCTACTAAGGGAATCAAAACACGAAGTACTTATGTAACCGCAAAAACAAGAGGCAGCAGGTCAGCTCAGGTGATCAAAGGTAGTGTCTATAGAAGCCAATGGATTCCAGAGCTTTGACTCATCGGCGCAAAAATGATCACGGGATTTCTGGAGGAAGAGTAGGTGTGCCCCGTCTGTCCGTACAGTTTGAAATAGGTCTTATCTATTGGCCAATTCTGACTTAATGATGTCAGTGAGACAGTTAGTTCATCCAAAAACGTTGCACACTGTAATTAAAATGTATTATTATTATTACTAATATCTTAGTGAGCAATGTAGGGAACTAAATCAAAAGAATGTCCTATATTAAGCAACACTGACGGTTTTAGTCATGTCAAAATGTTGTTACCTGGAGTTGTGTTTTGTTTCCTTCAGACACATTTGAGTAATCCTTAATTATTATGCTGTCTACATCTCCAAAGTACAAAACGCCCCGCTCCACCTTGTGATGTCATGTTGTGGTAGTTTACAGCTACTCTTTATCTTTTGTTCAGAACAGATCGGGAATTCCGGGTCTGAAATTATCCACATGATTCCACACAGCAAAAAGTGGAGTGTTAAAATTGACTCTCACAGAATCAATTTGAACATTTTCTCAGGGTTTATATGAGTCCAATCTGTTCTAGTGTTAATTTAACATTTTTGGAAATGTTAATTAAGTAACACTGGACTAAAGTTCCTGTTTAACCCTGAAATCAATAGTTATATTCACGTTTTGAGAGTAAATGGATAACACTTTGTAGGGTTATCCTGATTTAGCTAAACAACACACAAGGGTGTTTTATTTTTATACTTTATTTGAGTTAATTTAAGATGAAATTATGAACAAAACTGGTTGAAACTGGTCTTCTCTCAGTGGTGGGACGGAGAAACCAAATTAACACTAAGGGAAGTTGAATGAACACTTGAAGAAGATGAATTAATTTCAACTGTATCAACTCTGGCAAATAACCCCAACTCCAACCTCCAATTAACTTTCAAATAGTTAAAATAAGACTTTTTGTGTTAAAAACAGTTCTGAAATATTTTACCCTGAAATGATAACCCTCCAGTTGTTGCTATGTAGTGATGAAGTTGAATTCGAGCGGAACACTTCCTGTATTACGACAGTGTTTACAGTTTGAGAGAAGAACTAAAGATGTCTAAATATAAAAAATGATTGACAGGCTTAAGTTATTTTGACAGACTGTTAAATACCATGCCAAGACTATGTTGTGGCTAAATGGCTGCAGCCGTATAGCTGTGTTGCCTTAAATGCCCTCTCCCGCGCTCTGACGTTAAAGGTACAGGCAACACCCAAGCACATGCAGTGTAGGACATTTCGTCCCCTAGAATTATCAGGTTTGTTTTGTTATTCATATATTCAACTTCCTGAAAACGTCCTGTACACTTCTGACAAAATGTTGTTATGGTGCCAAATCAATATTTAGCTTTCTACAAACAAGGTGATCCCATTTCCATTTTTCATTGAGATCTATTAAACGGCACATCTTATCACCTTAATATCTCAGAAGTGCCCAGAATAAAGATAGAACCTATAAATGTGAGGTTATGATTTGTTAAGAGAAAGCTCACAGAAATATACTGTATACTTACTGTACTGTATATTCCAATTCAACTAATGCCACCTCAAAACACCTCATTTAGAAATAAAAAGATTGATACAGTCAAGGCCGGATTATCCATATGGGCCAGTGGGACGGTGCCCGGGGAAGATGTTAAATGGCCACACATAACTCATCATTAACACTGATTTCATAATAACAACAATAATGATCATCCTGAACAAATCAAGATGACATGACTACTGTATTTTTTTAAACTATAAATCACACTTTTTTTCACGGTTTGGGTGGTCCTGCGACTGATACTCTGGTGCGATTTATATATTAAAATTTTCAGACTGACAGCCGTGAGAGGCTCTAGGCTTGTGTGTCAGTATCTAGTACTACTATTACTCCTGTACCACTGTCACTTCGCTCTACTGCGCATGTCTCCTGCAGAAAAAGACGCTGTCCTGCTGCAAATAGTGAAATTTGCAGCCAAAAACGGTAATCGAGCAGCAGAAAGGAAGTTTGGAGTGAGCGAGAAACTTATGAGGGACTGGCGGAAAGCGGGCAAGGAGCCTGAAGTCACTGGATGAATCAACAAAGCCTGAACTTCAATGACAACTGTAACCATCCTGTTGAAATTCAGAAAGGCTGGAATAATTCTAACTGGAACTGATGCAGAGTCTGACGACAGCTACACAGAAGAGGGAGCGGCGCTCCGTTTACATCATGGATCTATGGTTTATCTCTGGAGGTTGAGCAGAAGTGACACCGAGGAAGAAGAGTTCAATGGATTTAGTGATTTGGAGTGAGATCGGGAAGTTTGGTAAACTTGTTTATGCTATAATTATCTGAATAACTGTTCATATGTTACGTTAACATATTAACACCTTTTCAGTCTGTTGGTCACTGTTTTATTGTTACTTGCCTTTCAAGATGAAATGTCAGTTCCTGGTCTCTGATTTTATAAAATACATTTCCTCAGAAAGTGCGACTTATAGTCCGGTGTGACTTATGTATGTTATTTTCTTCTTCATTGTGCATTTTTTCGCTGGTGGGACTTAAACTCTGGAGCGACTTATAGTCCGAAAAATATGATATTCATTCCCCATTACATATGAGAAATGTTTATGTGTACTATTTCTGACAGGAAGACAGGACTAAGGTGTGCGCGTGTGTGTGCTTAATACTAGGGACGTAACGATATCCAAATCTCTCGGTATGATATTATCACGATATGCATCTCACGGTACGATATTTATTGCAATATTTTGGAGAGGCTGATATAATTGTAGATAGCACACTTTTTTTTTAGTAAAAAACATATTTTGGTATGTTTTCTGCACTGAAATGAATCATGGAATATGTAGTTCCCTATATTTATAAGCTGTTGCTACTGTAAAACCATGCATTTAAGCAAAGAAACTTGTGATTCGATATATTGTGACGGCCCACGATATTATTGTGAGACTTTTGATGATATGATATCCCCATATTTCAGTTATCGTTACATCCCTACTTAATACGGCTCTGATGCACTATATAATTTAAATGCTGTGACCTTCACTTTTGAGTTTAACCACAGTTTAACACTTTGTCTTTTGATTTTCATCATAGTTTCGAGATAACACTTCACAAAACTCAGGAAGCAGCTGTCACACAATGCACCTTTAATGCAGTATGAGGCTAAACTCATCAATGACTGAACCCTGGTGACCTGAGTAAAACGTAACACTTCCATTATCGCTGAACGAAAAAGCGCCGTGCGAGATTTTTTAATCAAGTGAATAAAATAGAGGTTTATAAAAAAAATATCTGATTACGTGTAGCCATGACCTACATTTCAACAGGGGAACATAATCACCATGTCAGATTTGAATGAACTGAACTGTATGCTGCTGTAAGAATAGTCCAATGTAATCCCACTGTCCTTGTGTGAGTGTGAGGTGTGTGTGTGTGTGTGAAAGTGTGTGTGGGCGTTGGTCTCACCTGTACTGAGCAGGAGCAGGACCTTCATACACAGGTACTCTTCGTAGGACACCTGCAGCCGCACAAATTCATTACAGATCTTCAGCATCTGCTCACACTGCTCGTTCATAAAGGGCAGCTTCATGCGCTCTCTGAAAGCAAACAAGACAAACAAAAAAAGGTTCTCAAATGGGGGTTCAAGGGGATCTTTAAGGTGGTTGCTAAGACTCTTAAGATTTTGTGAATTTTGGTTAGAGACATGGTCCGTACGTGGTCAAGTTTTAGACCTGGGGTAGTCTTGGTTTAGATTTGTCCTGTTTTACACTATAGGTTCTAATTCAGTCAATTCAGTTCTGACCTAGTTGGTTCAAGTGCTGTTTCTGTCCTGGTTTAATGTTGGCTTAGTTCTGGTTTAGTCTTGGTTTAATGCAGATACTATCCAGGTTCAGTCCAGGTGCAGTCCTGGTTTAGTCTTGGTTTAGTTCTGGTTTAGTGTAATCATGGTTCAATCCTGGTTTAATCTTGGTTTAGTTTTAATTTAGCCCTCGTTCATCCTGGTTCAGCACTGGTTTAATTTTGGTTCAGTCCTGGTTTAGTCCTGGTTTAGATCTGGTTTAATTCTGGTTTTAGTGTAACCCTGGATCAGTCCTGGTTCAGTGATGATTTAATCCTGGTTTAGTCTTTGTTTAATGCAGATAAAATCCGGGTTCTGTCCTGGTTCAGTCCTGGTTTAGTCCTGGTTTAGTCTAGGTTTAGTCCAGGTTTAGTCCAGGTTTAGTCCTGGTTTAGTCCTGGTTTAGTCCTGGTTTTAGTGTAGCCCTGGATTAGTCCTGGTTCTGTCCTGATTTAATCCTTGTTTAGTTTTGGTTTAATGTGGATACAATCCGGGTTCTGTCCTGGTTTCAGTCCTGTCAGTCTGGTTCTGGTTTAGTCCTGGTTTAGTCCTGGTTTAGTCCAGGTTTAGTCCTGGTTTAGTCCTGGTTTAGTCCTGGTTTAGTCCTGGTTTAGTCCTGGTTTTAGTGTAGCCCTGGATTAGTCCTGGTTCTGTCCTGATTTAATCCTAGTTTAGTTTTGGTTTAATGTGGATACAATCCGGGTTCAGTCCTGGTTCAGTCCTGGTTCAGTCCTGGTTTAGACCTAGTTTTAGTGTAGTCGTGGTTCAATCCCGGTTTAATCTTGGTTCAATCTTAATGCAGCCCTGGTTTAGTCCTGGTTGAAGTCCTGGTTCAATTCTGGTTTAAACTTTGTTCAGTCCTGGTTCAGTCCTGGTTCAGAACTAGTTAAGTCCTGGTTTAATGGTGGAGCAGTCTGGATTCAGTCCTATTTTAGTCTTGATCTAGGCCTGGTTTGAGTGTAGTACTGGTTCAGTCCTGGTTCACCCCTGGTTTAATCCTGATTTAATCCTGGCTCTTAATGGTCCTAATCATCTGGCTTTAGCCCTGGTTCAGTCCTGGTTCAGTTCTGCTGTAGTCCTTCTTCACATCTACTTTAAAACATACAGGTAATGTTCTGGTCTAATACTTTTATGCTCCAACGTGTATGATAGTCCATTTTCCTTTATATCTCTGTATCTATATTGGCCCAGCTCTGGTTAAGCCTTTTGTTCCATCCAACAGATCAGTGTGTGGATGCAAAACAACTTTCTCCAGCTAAACTCTGACAAGACTGAAGTCATAGTGTTTGGTCCACAGAAACAAAGGGACAGTGTCAGCAGTCACCTCCAGTCTCTCTCTCTAAAACCTTCAAATCAGGCAAGAAATCTAGGGGTAATAATGGACTCAGACTTGAACTTTAACAGCCACATCAAATCAATAACATCTGCAGCCTTTTACCATCTAAAAAACATAGCAAAAATCAAAGGTTTACTGTCTAAATCAGACTTGGAGAAACTTATCCATGCGTTTGTCTCCAGTAGGTTAGATACTGTAATGTTCTGCTCACTGGTCTCTCCAAACGAGCTGTGAGACGCTGCAGAACATCCAGAACATCCAGAATGCTGCAGCTCGGGTCCTTACTCGAACTAGGAAGTACGAGCACATAAGTCCTGTGCTCAGGTCTCTGCACTGGCTTCCTGTGCCTCAGAGACTTTAAAGCAGCTCTGCTTGTACAAGTCTCTCCAAGGCCGAGCACCAAAGTCCATCTGTGACATGTTAGTGCCATATGAACCATCTCGCACTCTGAGGAGCTCAGGGACCGGCCTCCTGCTGGTGCCCAGAGTCACGACTAAACAAGGGGAGTCAGCGTTTCAGGTTCCTGCAGCTAAAACCTGGAACAGTCTTCCTGAACATGTGAGACAGACTCTTCTGTGACGCTGTTTAAATCCAGGCTCAAAACATTTCTGTTTAACTGTGCATATCACTGAAAGGTTTTCATTCTGCACTCTTCTCTCCAATTTATGTCTCTCTTTTTTAATTTTAATCCTTATGATTATTTATGTTTTGATTTGTTTTTATTATGATTTTAATGTATTTCTTATTCTGTAAAGCACTTTGAATTACTTTGTGTACGAATTGTGCTATACAAATAAACTTGCCTTGCCTTTGTTGTCTTTTTTAAGCTTTATTTTCTCTTCCGAGGTTCTTGGTGTGAAACATTCTAAAATGACTGCTTTTGGAGACAAGGGGAGCACTCTGTACACCTTTCAACCTCTTTGCTCTTTCCTGTTATTCAGCTCAAGGTAAACAGCCTCAGCAGGGATGTGGTACAGCGCTGCAGGACTAAACCAAGCTACCAAATCGGCAAAGATGGATTTTCACACCTCACTTCCAAACACACGCATAAGGACACACACACGGAACACAAAGGCTTCTTCCTTTTAAAAATCAATATTGCGCGTTCTCCAGATAGCCCCAGGTTGAAGGTGTGTTTTTTAGGAGCAGGCTGTTGTGCATCGGTCACGTTCAGGTGTATTTTTATCTCCACCAAAGCATGGGGTTCAATGGGAGACACAGATTTTTACAGCAAAACATAGGAAGGAATCAGGCTGTTTGGCGGTGAGTGACAAAAAAGTATTGTAGATAAATCTGTGTATCATCTGTTCATTCGTTTTTCGATATGAAACCAAAAATAAGAACATGAAAAAACAACAGTTTTCTTCATTATTTGTCTCCAAAACCAAACTGAAAAAATTGATAACGATTGAGACCAGGACTTAGACAGGGACCGGGACTGAGACCGGGACCAGACTGGGACCGAGACTGGAACCAGACCGGAATTGAAAACAGTTTTGTCCTAGTTTAGTTCTGTTCGGCATCTCAATTTAACTCATGGAAACGGGAAACAGCTGTTATCTGTTTTTTCCATTATTCATTTAAACACAAAATCAAAAACTGAAAGTAACAAATCGTTATCTGTTTTTTCTTTTTGTTTTCTGTTTTTTTTTTTCAATTTCAGTTTTGGAGACGAATAATGAAGAAAATAGTTATTTTATTGTTTTCTTATTTTTGGTTTTATTTTGAAAAACGAATGACACACGGATTTATATAACTTAATAAAAGTGAAATCTGATATGGATTTCAAAAGTATTCTTGTTTGTGTCGATTAGTTCATATGTCAGTCTTCTCTCAAATGTTGCACAATGTGCACTCTGAACAGACTATGATAATCTGAACTTGAGCATGATGAATAGGTGAGCAGAAAAAATTATAAATCTCTTGGTATTATAAGAAAAGTTTGTACATTTCTGGACTCAAAATCTATCACATCTATCTGTCACATCAAGAGCTCAGTTTTGATACGATACAGGGGCTGTAAATTCTGGAGCCAGTTTTCACATCTGGTTAGTGACGGCAGATCAGAAACGTTATTTAAACATAGTTTGAGGAAATGTTTGATATTTCATGATAATGTTTGATAATCATTCAATTGTGGATGTTTCATTGTATTTTAACCCATGTTTGAATCAAATGACTTTAATCCAAGGTGTGTGAATGTTTTGTTTTTTGTTTTTTTCTAGTTTTTTTCATGCACAGCGATACTGTTCAATTCTTAATATATTCATAAGGTGGACACTTTAATATAAGTGCTTTCGTTTTTTTTTTTGTTTTTTTTTGCCTCTTCCGGCACCTACTTTTTAATCTAGTGTGTTTGTTTTAAATTGTTATGTTATATATGTGCAAAATAAATAAATAAATAAATACATTTAATACATTTTTTAAGGTGCAATACTTGTTTGATAGAGTTGGCTCCTAACTTAACTTAATTTCTTTCATAAAATAGATTCTGAATCTCAACAGGACCTTCGAGTTAAATAAAGGTAGCATAAAACAAATCAATCAATCAATTAAAAAAGAAAAAGAAAATCGCAATTAGATTTTTTTCCACCAAAGTTGTGCAGCTCTAGTAGTAGTAGTAGTAGCAGAAGTAGTAGTGGTAGAGATAAGTCAACTTTTAATTACAAATCAGAGCTTTTCACCACGTTAGCCATTTAATCACCTGTTGTATTTGGAGTGATTCGTGCATGTTTGAGTAATCTTTAATCACTTATTTTCAAGACGCCATTTTGCTAATCAACCACTGACATAAGACCACTGTTCTGTACTTCCTTCCTTCTCCAAATTTAATCTCTTAATCTGTGATACACGTAGGATTTGGCAGGGTTGTGTAGTCATTTTGGTGCAAATGTCAGCTCCCGTTGGGCACTGCAGTTTTCTAAAATAGACTGGTTTCTTTTATGACGTGGTTTTGGAGTATTTCGAGTTAAAATGCCCAAATTCTAATGCAATAATCCAGGTGTGCCATAGATTGTAACGTGGAATCAAAATCAAGTGTTGTCTTTATTTAGCACTACAACATACACATACATCAATGGCATTTGTGTTTTGCTTCCAGCTCTCCTTCATAAATTTACCCAGCACACATATGGGAAAGAACTGAAAAGCTCCATGGACAAAAGCACTGATTGCGTATAGAAGTCAAGGCTATTTTATCTCCTTCATTTTCTATAGCCTTCCACCAATCCTTGAGTTATTATTGATCTACAGGCAGAGGATGCTATTGTGTGTCACGTGGAGAGTAGGGCTTCTCCTGTGGGGCCGGTCTGTAACACAACGCTATAAGGCTGCTGGTCTTTTAATACAAGGTCCTATATTGTGTGAAATCTTCTATCATCTTTTAGCGATGGTATAATGATGTTACCTCATTAAAAACATACCTGCGGTTGTGCTTTTTGTGTTTTCATTCACATATGTTCGAGTAATCCTGCATTATTAGTCAAGTTATTTTTTTTATTTAACAGCTACTTTTTACCTTATGTTTTGTAGAGATTGGCAATTCCAGGGCTGAAATGATCCAAATGATTCTAGTGAAAGTGTATAGAGTTTAAAAACACAGTGGAGCACTTCCTGTATGACCAGATTTGCGTGTTAAACATGTGCAATACTTGGTGGAATACTTGGTCCAAGTACTTGGTCCAACACTTGGTCCAACACTTGGTCCAACACTTGGTCCAACACTTGGTCCAACACTTGGTCCAACACTTGGTCCGTCAGTCTGCCCCAGGGCAGCTGTGGCTACAATAGTAGTTTACCACCACTGAGTGTGGAGTGACTGAATAATGAACTGTAAAGCGCTTTGGGTATCTTGAAAGGCGCTATATATATGCAATGCAATCAATCAATCAATCAATACTTGGTCAATTATTTGGTGCAACACTTGGTCAATTACTTCATTAATTACTTGGTCCAATACTTGGTCCAACACTCGGTCAGTTACTTGGTTAATTAGTTGGTGCAATACTTGGTCAATTACTTTGTTAATTACTTGGTCCAATACTTGGTCAATTACTCGGCCCAACACTCGGCCCAGTACAGTACTCGGCCCAGTACTCGGCCCAGTACTCGGCCCAGTACTCGGCCCAGTACTCGGCCCAGTACTCGGCCCAGTACTCGGCACAGTACTCGGCACAATACTCGGCACAATACTCGGCACAATACTCGGCACAATACTCGGCAAAATACTTGACCTGCAGTTGTGTTTTGTTTCATTCACACATGTTTGAGTAATCCTGCATTATTAGTCAAGTTATTTTTAAGGTAACAGCTACATTTTACCTTTTGTTTAGTAGAGATTGGCAATTCCAGTGCTGAAATGATCTAAATGATTGTAGTCAAGGTGCATGGAGTTTAAAAACACAGTGAAGCGCCTCCTGTATGACCAGATTTGTGTGTTAAACATGTGTGACTGGAACAAAACTCAACTCTGGGTGTGTGTTTGCATGGGAAAACAGCAGAAAGGAGAAGTGAATGCGTGAATTATAGCTGACAATTTGATATTTTTGGTATTTATATGTAAAAAAAAGCAGATTAAACTCATGGTTCACACGTTTAATCAGTCTCTCTATAAATACTTTGTTTCCTTGTGCTTTTTTTCCTGTATAAATAGTTGTTTTTGCATGAACATCAGTGAATTTATAGTCTTGTGAGTACAGTTTGGATCAGATACATGAAGTTACTAAATAGTTTTGGAGAGGTTTTCCATACTCCCTTTTTAGTAATCGATCTTTAGTCAAACAAGAATTTCTTTAGTCAACAACAGCCCTACAAAACTAGAGTAAGCGTGGATACTACACAACACAGAGGATCTGAAGTCCCTTTAATATCGAGGACTGCTAATTAGGATGCAGAGGTGGGCCAGGAGGATCTCTCATGTGGTTTAAGTGTTATTTATACAAGCTGGAGTAATAATTAATGACAATAATAAGGTTTCAGTGTTACATATGGCTTTTATACTACAGAGAGTGTGTCTGCGTCAGGCAATTTCTTTTTCTGGGATTACACGGGGAGAGCCTGTGTCGAGTAGGTCTTATCACTGATTACAGATCTTTACACAGGGAGTGATTATCCCAGCCCAGGGGGAGGAAGGAGCTATAACCTCAGTGTCGCTCGGGATGGCCTCAGGGATTGATGTGACCCTGCGCTGTGCACGTGTTACACTCAGGTTACACAAGGACTGGTACATTACTGACTCGTAGTGCACGGCATTACACAAAATTACACAGAGAGTTACACACAGGTTACACACAAAGGCAGAGTACTGACTTGTTGATGACGAGGTCCGGGGCGAAGCACAGCATGCTGCCGTTACACTGCTCGTACGACCTCCAGCCCAAACTGAAGGACATTAGGAAGAGCCACGAGCACTGCAGCAGCGTCATCTGGTCATCCAGGTGCAGGTTACGGAAGCCTGGGGGGGACAAACACAGTGCGTGGTTAGAGGGAAATCATTACCAAATAATATAAAACAATGGATTTTGTAAGGGGCGCTATAACTTTTCTGGAGCATGGCATTAAATCTATCCTGACTCCATTTCTATTAAATTATACTTGTTTTCACTGCATATTTCAGGTAAAGCAATAACATCTCCATGGAAACAAGGCGGCATGTGACAGCCCCCCAAAAGACTGTAAGACTGCATAGTGCACCTTTAAATGGTACTTACTGAAAAAGAAATGGAAAAAACAAGAATGTTGAATATTTTTTTTGTTGAATATCAAGTACAGTTGCAGTAGTATTTTTGATAAGCAGCACAACTCACAACAATTAAAGTGTAGATAACAAGCAAGGGTGTGCAAAAATATTGAAAAATCAATATATCGTATCGTTTAATGTGATGATACAGTATCAATATTGTGGGCTGCTGTATTGATATATATCGCTAAGAGTATTTTTAGCTATATTTTACAAAATTATTTTGTTACAGCGCTACAGTTTTGTTGTTTGTTTAGAGCAAGGAAACTCATTTATGCAACACACTTGACCTTTTCACTGTTTTGATGATTAAAATGTTTGTGTTTCATATTAACATGAACAGAAGTGGTTTAACAAAGACTTTTAGTATCACAGCCATGATTTAGCTTTTATTTTTATTGAACCGTATCGAATCGATTTGAAATATATCGTATTGAATCGAAAGCTCACTGTATCGAGGTATGTATTGTATCCTGGCCTATATATCGAGGTATGTATTGTATCGTGACCTATATATCGAGGTATGTATTGTATCGTGACCTATATATCGAGGTATGTATTGTATCGTGACCTATATATCGAGGTATGTATTGTATCGTGACCTATATATCGAGGTATGTATTGTATCGTGACCTATATATCGAGGTATGTATTGTATCAGCAATTTCTTAATGATACCCAGCCCTAGTACCAAGTGAGTAAGTATTGTACTGCACCAAAAACAACAAGCACAAATACTTTTACTTAGACTAGAGATATTTTTGCTATATTTGACTGAAGACTGATGTGCTACAAATACAAGATCCTGGTAAATTCATTCATAATTCCTCTTGTATTCTTTTTTGTGGCTGAAGTAAGGTCAAAAGAAAAAAAAAAAGAATAGCAAAACAAACAAAACAGACTCAAGAAGATCACGCAGAGTGGTTAAATGCAGAGTACAGATACAGATACAGGTTACAGAGAGAGGAGGGGGTAACATTTTCCTAAGGTTATGTTTACAGTGAAACGAATCACTGTATCGCCGTATCGGAAACGATTTGCGTCCAGACACGTTGTTTCTATGTCCTCAAGCCTTCCCTATCCACACAGCTTTGCACATATTTGTTTATGTTTTACAGAAATGAAACTTAAAACCACATGGCACATTTGCATAAACTAAGCGCTCAAAAAGACAGCTCGCTCCTTGTGCCCCGACGCGGACCCAACTCAGAGGAATATAAGTGTTCTTTCTCTGACAGAGGGGTGTTCTGCTAATGGTGAGTCTGTTCTCTGCAAGTAGTTCTAGCTCCACTGTTTGTCTATGGTTTGTTTACACTGTTTTCCACAATAGTGTCACATGACCAATGTCACGAAACCAGCGAATCAGGAAGGCACAAATCACAGTGACATGGTCCAATAAGGACGCAACTAGAGCTCCTAGGTCAGAGCATCAATGTTTTCAGGCGTCCACACAGCGCCGGATCAGATCTGTACTCAGATGAATTCGTCGGAGCTGGCGGCACCAGATCCTTTTCCATCAGACTAGTGTGGACGAACACTACATCTGCAATGAAAAGGACTCGAATATGTACTAGTGTGGATGGGGCCTAATACAAACTGAATTGGAGCCAGATTTGATGGAGCCGGAAGCGCACTCATGCTCACACAGTCTCGTAACAACACTAGGCTAAAATCAATAAAACTGCACTTCCCAAACAAAACCAGGTTTGAAAAATAAACTAAACATTACCCCCAAATCGCCACGCAGGAACGCAGTTATAAAACCAGCTTGTTACGTAAAAAGTGCACAATAATGACTAAAAGCTCTCTGTCACCCATGCTTAAACCGATGCCCAAATTGTGCTGTCATTGTTTCAGCACATTAGCAGAGCGCATTAGCACTCGCCTTTAGCTTCCACTGCGCGCTGTTATGTAAGGCCCTTTTCCTGTGGAGAAGCGGGGCCCTCACCAGAGCTTTGGCAGGCATCCAGGCATCAAACGTGGCCTGATTTAACCCCCAGTCCAATGCGGCGAAATCAAAAGGAACAGGCAGGTTCTCACAGGGGAAGTATGATCTCTCTCTGTACCATAACAGACTGGTTCAATTACAATGACTTAAGAGGGGTAAAAAAAAGAGTTACGGCGATTAGTGAGTCATGAGTCTTTGTTCACATGATTATAAGGCTCATACTAACATGCTTTAGATTCCTGGACTCGCTGCGTTTATGTAATAAGAAAAAGTCCAGACGTGTACCGATATGGTTAACAAATATGTAATATGATGAGGATGCTGAAAAGTAGGGATGTAACAATATCCAAATCTCATGGTACGATATTATCACAGTGTGCATCTCAATGTACGATATATACGCTGGTATTTTGGAGAGGCTAACAGAATTGCAGATTTGGCTTTTAAAATACCGTATTTTTTGGACTATAAGGGACACTTAAAATCCTTTAATTTTCTCAAAAATCTACAGCACCCTTTATTATCCGGTGCACCTTATGTATTAATTCTGGTTGTGTTTACTGACCTTGAACTGATGTTATGTGGTACAAAGCGCTCAAAAATCTGTCACAATGTTTAAATACGACTTTGGTAAACTACAAAGCCGCACCGCTTGATGGATTGTCGGAGCATTACAGCTACCGTTGTCAGGAGTCTCGCGAAGTAATCCACATTCACCAAGACAGGGAGGCAATGCCGGGTGAGTTACGTCACGATCTGCCGGTGGACCGTGGATAGCTGGGGTAAGGTATCGGTCTCAAGTGTCGCCTGAGCTTTCACGAAAGCTGAAGTCATTACTGAACAGCTAAGTAACAGTGACGAGACTGACTCGGATAATGACGTGCATGTGTGATGCTGAAATCGCCAAACTGTTAAACTCAGACACTGAAGATGAAGATGGATGGATTTCATGGATTTGTGGAAGAGGAATGAATTGAAAAAATGAGTGTATTGTTTTGTATTTTATGTGTTACAACTGAACAATGTTGAGAGTTACTGTGAATGAGTTGAATAAAGTTTGACTTAACTGACAGTTTTGTTTCACGTAATGTGCCTTATAATCTGGTGCGCCTCATGTATGAAAGTAGACAAGAGAATTGAACATTACTGATTTTGTGCCTTATAATCCAGGTGTGCCTTATAGTCAGAAAAATACGGTACCTCGACCAAGACTTTGGGGCGAGTCATAACACCAACAATTCTGATATAAAAGATAATTCTTCATTTTTTCTGGACTGAAGTGGATTATGTTCAGTGACATTCCCCATCTTTAATACCAGTTTCTACAAAAAAATTAAAAATAAATAAAATAAATAAATAAAAACTAAGCAATGAGACTTGCAATTCGATATATTGTGATGGCCCACGGTATTATTGTGAGACTTTTGCCGATACAATACCATGATATTTAACTGTTTCATCCCTACAATAAAGTAGTGCAACATTGGAGTCTTTGGTACAAAACAGTTATGGAATATCTGTGGAGACATTGCTGTGAGCCTCTTTTTGGACAGTTGATGTCTTCCTTATTCTGTAAAGCACTTTGAATGACTTCGTGTACAAATTGCGCTGTACAAATAAACTTGCCTTGCCTTGCAGTTGAATGAAAGTACAAAGGATGCAGATGGCCTGTTTGGTCTGTGTGTACAAGAGGGGCAGGAGAAAGTCAAACTTCAAAGTCAAAGAAACCACACAGACCACAACTATAGAAAGTTGAAGACGTTCTGCCCCGATTTAACCCTTTTAAAGGTTCTATATTACGCTAAGTTGACTCCTGTGAGCTTTAAGCCATGTTATAATGCTATTACCTCACCAAAAACATATCTGGAGATGTGTTTTTGCGCTGTTCCACCCTGTGATGTCAAGCAGTGGTTGTTTTTAGCTACATTTTACCTTTGGCTCAGTAGAGATAGGCTATTCCAGCTCTGAAATCATCCAAATGATTCTGTGAAGGTGTATGGAGATTCCTGTATTACCACATGAGATCACAAGGTGGAAGAGAGTGCCAGTTTGAGGGAAGAAAATCTCAGAAAATCAAAAAAAAAAAAACGCCCTTTAAATATGTGTATAATTGTTCAAATCCAGACTCATAACTGTTCTGTCTAGTGTGCAAGTGACAGGATTTCATCTGTAACCTCCTATAATTTTATAATAATGATTTGTTTTATATTTACTAATGATTCCTGCAGCTTAGCACATGGTTTGAGTGGATTCACCAAATTATAATGATTATTCCATTCTTCAGCAATCAAGTAAACCATAGTGGTGTCAAAGTTTCCCACTGGGACAGACTGTATATTAGGGATGTAACAATAACCGAAATATCACGATACAGTATCATCTCACAATAATATCCTGGGCTGTCACAATATATCGTCACACGTTCCTTTGCTTAAACTCATGGTTTTACAGTAGCAACAGCTTATAAACATAGGGAACTACATGTCCCATCATTCATTTCAGTGCAGAAAACATAAAGAAATATGTTTCTGACTTGATTTTTTAGGACTATGATGCAAATAATTAGCACCAAAATCTAGTCAAGGTATTTTAAAAGCAAAAAAAGTGTCCTATCTCCAATTCTATTAGCCTCTTCAAAATATCGTACCGTGAAATGCATATCGTGACAATATTGTACCGCGAGATTTGGATATTGTTACATTACTACTGTATATATAAATGGACATAGCTTAGGAAGTAAGCATGGGTACAAATTGTCTCCTTCAAGTTCTGGTTACAGTTCACTTTCTATTGAACCTTCCCTCTCTGTAATTGCTGCTGTGAGCTCTAAATGATCTTGGTGTTTTTATTTCACCACTTTGTCCCTAGGCATTAATAACCGACAAATCCGGTGCCTGCTTTCCACAAGGTTGCTTCCGTTACAAATACACGTTGGCCTGCAGCACCGGGTTTGGTTTTATGCTTGGATTTCCAAATATGGTACCTGATTGCAGATTAACCGCTATAACTGCTACCCTTGATAAGCTTCATTTGGTTACAACCGAATGCTGAATGGATGACGCAACGCTCAAATCCACTGGGAAAAAACTGAAGAAAATTCATGGCACACTTTGAACTTTCTTGTGTACTTTCTCAGTGCTTTACAAATAAACTTTGCCTTGTCCCAAAGTATATAATCTCTGACTTTAACGGAAACACATTAACTTGCAGTATTTTGGACAATATCATGCGTGACAAATTAGCCCAGTGTCCTCGAGTGTAGTACAGGGCAGTCATGATGTCTACACTTTTGATGAATGATTATAGAAATACACATGCACATCACGCTCTTCTTATCAAAACTGATTCAGTCCCGCTCACTGCATACCACATAAAACACAATGAAAACTGTATATACAAGATGTACTGCAGACTCAAAAGCCTGTGACGACTCAAGGGTATTTCCAGGCTGCTGTTAGTGTCTAGGCCTTTCATGATAATTACTACATCTTATTGTTCAATATATGAAAGCTGAACTATTTTTTGGGGTCAGTATTTATCGTTTGTACATTTTTTTTTTGCTCTACTGGGACATGTATGGTTATTTTTTGGATCTATGATACGATTTAACTGTAAAAGTTTGAAGACATAACTTGCTGTTTATTCATGACAGTGTTTTTCATGTTTTGTTTTTTTTTGTAAATATTGTAAAATTGTGGTTTAAAGGTGGTTTAAAGGTAGCTTGATCATCAGCCAGTTTCACTTCGTCGAAACCGTCTGACCTCGCAGCATTAGGATCCGCTCGCTCGACGGTAGGCGGGTACTTTTTTTATTTAACCATTCACTGCTATTTGGTCGTGAGGTTACATCATCCTGTAGGAAGAAGGGCAATAACGTCTTTCCCCTTGGATAAAATTCACCAAACATTCTCTTTGTTCCGACTTTAAATCCTCGATCTCGGGAATCGTTGCCAACACAGAATGTCTGGCTTCGTCTACATCCATCTCGAGCGCTTTGTTTACTGTTGTATCACCAAAGGGACCCAGACAAGCACTTGAGTTTAACATTATGCCTTCACAGCTCTACACTGATTGGCCTGTGCGTGGTCTACAACTTCCAGGGTTCTTTCAAACCATCTAGTGTATTCCGATTCCTGACCTAGTCGCCTGACTAGTTTAAAGGTGCACTGTGAAGCTTTTCTGGTGGAGGGTCCGTCAAACGCTTTTCTCCATGGACATGTTATAGCTTTGTCTGGGATATTTCACAGTACGGCATCAAACCTTTCTATCTTCATGGAGACCAAACCGGACCAAATTACAGGTCAGATTTGTGGGAGGGCGACCCTGCTCACGGTCAGAATGTCTGTCTTTCTAGGTATCGATCAAAAGTTTTAGAACACCCTAATTTTTCCAATTATTTATTGCAATTCAAGTCGTGCATGTCCAATGAAGAGCTTGAAATGGTAAAAAGGTAAGAACTGAACAGTCAGAGGTTAAAAAAGTCCAAGCTCTGCCAAAACTACCTCAGGAAAAAAAGAATAAGATGGTAAACTTGAAAACATGGAGTGTCCAGCACAGTCTTCAGACTTAAACCCCATTCAGCTGGTTTGGGATGAACTGGACAGAAGAGTGAAAGCCAAGCAACCTACAAGTGCCACACATTTATGGGAACTTCTGCAACAGACTTGGGAGGAACTTTATGAAGAATATTTGATTTTATTGTAAAAAGAATGAGCCACGAGTGTGTTCAGCTGTTATATCTGCCAAAGGTGGACACTTTCTTGAATCAAAAGTTTAGAATGTGTTTTGGTCAACAGTAAGCCATAAAAAACTGAAAAAAGTGTGGTGTTCTAAAACTTTTGACTGGTAGTATATTTATGAGCTATAACACTACCTGTAATTGAATACATGTAAGGTAGAGCTGTTTAATGTGATACTGTTGAATATTCCGGGCAAAGCAATGATGTATCCATAGAAACAAGCAGGTGACAGACCCTCCACCAAAAAGTTACATAGTGAACCTTTAAATTAGCTCCAATATTATCGTTTATAGTTTATATTTACTTCACAAATATATCATACTTCAAAATGTGTGATGTTGACAGGCCTAGTAGAGTCCAGTGTAGAATTACCTTAATAATTTAACCAACATGTGGAGTGCATTATAAATAGCTAAGTATGAATAATTAGCACCACATTACTTTTCATGTACATGCTCTCTCATCTGAAGCCTCTGTATATTTGATGGTAATGGTTTCAAGGTTTCATTTGAGTCATCAGAATGGAATAACTGTCATCAGGACGTCTAATGTGAGTTGGTGCAGAGATGATAAAAATGACCTTTAAGTAATGCGGTTTTAAATATAGGCACCTCACTCACACATGGTTAATGGATAAAAGATCAGTTATTCCACATGGGTTACTTGAGAAGAATGGAAATAGTTTTGCATGCGATGTATATTTCTGTAAAAGTATGTTTACTCCTTCTACAGTTAGTATTTGTACTACTAGCACTTCCAAAACTGCTACTTCCTATCATACAATACATGTTTAAGACTTAATTTTATTCTCCTTGATAAACACGTGATTCAAATATCTATCAGAATTATTGCTGTATTTTTAATTTTTTTTATAATGTCATTTATTAGGACTATTCATTGTACATAACTTAAAGGTGCAGGATGTAATGTTCTGGCAGTGACACATAACCTGCATGGTTCCAATGAAACAGAAAGTTCAACTCAAACTGTACTTTGGAAATATTCTCCATGGAAATATGTTTTACACCATACTGTGGAAGATTGTAGTCAAAGGAACAACATTTCCATGGGAACAAGCAGGAGGAAGCCAGGTTTGTGGAGATGGAAGCCTGCTGAGAGTAAGGATGCATGTATGCCACATTTCAGAGTGCAATAAACTCAACCAAATTGAAAAAAAGAAGAAAAACTATTCATTTTTTGTCAAGTTTCTGGCTAGAAAGTTACATATTTTGGCAGTTATCTTTAGTGTTGTCATGGTCACATTTTTTTTCTATAGCCTGATTCATCACTTGGTTTCACTTCGTGGAAACCGTCTGACCTTGCAGCATTAAGATGATGAAGGCGGGTACTTTTAAAAAAAAAAATTCTACCAATCACTGCTATTTGGTCATGATGTATGTAATGCGCCAAATCCCGTAGGAAGAAGGACAATAACGTACGTCTTTCCCCTTAATAAAATTCACCAAACATTCTCTTTGTTTCAGCTTTAAATCCTCGATCTCGGGAATCATTTGCCAATACAGAATGTATGTCTTTGTCTACATCCATCTCGACCGCTTTGTTTACTGTTGTGCTGTATCACAAAAGGGACCCAGTCGTGGCTTCACAGCTCTTCACTGATTGGTCGGTGTGCAGTCTACAACTTCCGGGGTTCTTGCAAACGGTCTAGTGTATTCTGACTCCTGACCTGGTCACTGGAGAGAAATGAAATTGAACAGAGGCACTAGGTGGAGCCAGCCTGGCTATATAAGAGCTGCCATGACAAGTGAATTCCTAAAGTTCTCATAGACTATATAAACAAGTGGACTAAGTAAGTGTGACATCATCCATAGCAAAATAAAAATATCAGGATCGTGTAGAGTGGGTTAATATAAGGCTGTTCAATGAATTGAATTTTGATTGCGATTTCAATTTGTGTGTCAAACAATCAAAACTCATAATCGAGTTGAAAAGATTTAGCTTCACAAAGTTTATTTTGGGATATTTTTTATATAAATAAGTATATTTATTTCATTTTTTTTAAATATAGAGAACAGTTTGTAGAACAGCTGAATATATAGTTTATTTTGGATACATTTTAGTTTTTCTATGCCTTATTTCATGTTCAAAGTAAAGTTTATTCATTTTTATTCATTTTATACATCACAAAACTGCTTGCTCTAAGGTTCATATTTGTAGTCTACATTTATTTTTATTTGCGTATTATCAATAACATTGTTTTGTTTTGTTTTTTTAAGAGAGAGAGAAATGCTGAATAAACGCATTGTGTAACTAAAAAATAATCTAAAATAATAATAATTTTTTTTTTTTTCCATAATGGTGAAGCCCTAGGTTAATGCGAACATTTTAAGATCAAAATGGTGAGGCTCACTGCACTAGTTACAGAGAAAGGGGTGACAATTTTTCAATGTAAAGCGAACTGGAGCTAGAGTCAGTGGAGTCAGAAGCGCGCCCATGATCACCTCCTATTTGTCCGTACAGTGGCTATGGCTCTTATGTAATCTTTTGTGCTCTTACCTGGCAGGGACTTGGCCCACTTGACTGCAGAGATGACCTGCTGCCCGCCCAGCCTGTTGAGTGTGGTCATGAGGCGGGACGAGGTGTCGGGCACGGTGCTGTCGTAGCCTGAGTAGATGATCTCAGGCTCGATGGCCTTCAGCACAGACAGCATGGTAGGCACCAGCTGGGACAGGCCCATGGGGATGATGGGAACCGGCATGTGAGGTGTGTGGTCCTGGGACGGCCGGGGCGGGTTGATTCTCTTCATCAGCTTCTTGTTTTTTCTCGCTACGAAAAGAGAAGAAGACGAGATGGTTTCATTATTATTGTTTAAAGGGCCTATATTATGTTTTTTTTTATGTTATAATGTCATTTCCACATCAAAAACATACCTGGAGTTGTGTTTTGTTTCATTTAACACACAAACTCTGCATAGTTAAGCTGAGTTCTCAAAGGGAAAACACTCAGTTCCACCTTGTGATGTCATGTGGTAATGCTCCATTTTGTTTTTTGAATTTGCATACACCTTCACTTGAATCATTTGGTTGATTTTTGTCCTGGAATTGTCAATCTCTACTAAACTAAAGGTAACTGTTAACTACCATTACATGACATCACAAGGTGGAACAGAGCATTTTGAGACAGACTAATAAAAGGGTTACTCCAAAACATGTGTAAATGAAACAAACCACAACTCCAGATATGTTTTTGAGATTGTAACAACATTATAACATGGGTTAAAGCTCAAAAATTCAATTTTGCATAATATAGCACCATTAAACAATACATAGATAGGATAAAAAATTGACCTTTCCCAATATTTTTTTTTAGAATTGTCTTGATGTTTAAGGCCACATGTTAATATGAAAGAAATTACTATAATTTTGATGTTGAAAATGATGTTGTGTTTTTGTAAAGTGGTACTGAAATTGTTATTGAGCGAACACACCCGTAGACTATCAAGTGCATTATGGGTAAATTGCAAAGTCACATTATTCCTTTTCTGTGATTGCCTGAAGGATGAACAATTTTGAAAAACATAATAATTGTGATTTTTCTAACAAGCATTGAGAATAGATTTGCATTTAAAGGGCCCATATTATGTTATTTTCTGATCTATGTTATAATTTTCCTCATTAAAAACATGCCGGGAGTTGTGTTTTATTTCATTCACATTTTTAAACACACACACCTTGAATATTTAGGCTGAGTTCTTCTCTCATATAGAAAACACTCTCTTTCACTGTTTCACCTTGTGATGTCATGTCATATGATGTCCTACAGGAAGTGCTCCACTGTGTTTTATAACTCCATTAGTGGCGGAGTCAGCAATTGTGGGGGCCCTAGGTGAACTTGAGTTTGGGGCCCTCACTATACCTATTGTTCTTGAGACATGCTCATCTCTATTTGAATTATGGTGGACTGGAAACTTGTCTTATTAGTTAGATAGTCTACTAGATAACCAGAGCTGTACAATTACATTTTTGCTTACATCCATGACATATGATTATTATTTTTCTTATAATTATTGTTTAAAGTAAACTACTCTCATTTAATGTCATATTGAGAGAAAATTTAATTGCGCTGAGGCCTCGGCCATTAGTGGCACTGAAGGCATTTGGATGATGGCCCCTCCTGTTTTGGCCTAAGTACTTTTGCCTAATGGTAGCGCTGCCTCTGAACTCCATACACCTTCACTAGAATCAATTAGATTTAATTTCAGCCTTGGAATTGTTACCGCTACTGAACTAAAGCTAAAAGGTAACTGTTATTTTGAAAACTACCACTCCATGACATGTGGAACAGAGCATTTTGAGCTTTGGAGATGTAGACAGACTAATGCAGGATTACTCAAACATGTGTGAATGAAACAAAACACAACTCTAGGTATTTTTTTGATTAGGTTAAACATTAAAACACGGCTTAAAGCTCACACGAAACAATTTTGTGTAATATAGAGCCTTTAAATTTGGGATAATACTAAAATACAAACTGCTACTACCACAACTGTACTGCTAGTTGTACTACTACATCTCTACTACTACTGGAGCTGCTATATCACTGTTACCAACTACAAATTTCAATTGGAAAACGGACCCTATAGTGAAATAATGAATACAAATACAAAAAAACAAAACAAAAAAAACATGAAACAAACATGTACCTCAACAAATAACTGAAGTGGTATAACTAGGCCTGTCACGATAACAAAATTTTGTAGCATGATATACTGCTATAGAGTTATATTGCGATAAACGATAATATTGAAGCTATTTTAAGCCTCTAACACAATTAAAATAAAGCAAAATATTCCCAGTAAAAACATTACATAAATATATAGTATCATTAAAAGAAGAAATAATTTGCTCTGTGCACAAATCCTAGCTCACTGTGTCTCAAAGCTAACAGTCACTTCTATTAAAATCTTAAAACATAAAATGACATAAAACAACCTATGAAAAGCAAATTAATTCAAATAAAGACTACCCAATTATTTTTGTATGTAGAATACACAGTTTGTGGTGGTGTTTTAATATTAATTATGCCTCAGAATTAGCATTAGCCTTAGCATTGAGACACAAACATCTCTCTTTCTAAACACAGGTTTCCTCCGCTTAAGTATTAATTTAATTTGTGTACTTTTTACCATTGTTAGTGTTGTTAGTGACATCCACCCACAGCTCTGTTCACCGTCTTATTTTTAAGTATTTGTTCATTTTAGCACAAACTGGAAAAAAAAACAACAACAACTGGACAGGAAGTAGTGAGGCTATCAGTTGCGGTCACATGACGGCCTTGACCTGTGCTCCGTTCACCGACTACAACTGGCTGCACGCCTCCTCACGCCAGAAGCAAAGATTAAGATTTAAGATTTTATTATTTGTTTTTAAATCTCTTCATGATCTGGCACCTTCATATTAATAGTGATGGATCAGTAACCGAAATATCTTGATATCGTATAGTCAAAAGTCTCTCAATAATATCGTGGACCATCACAATATATCGAATCACAAGTTTCTTTGCTTAAATTCATAGTTAAAAAACAGAGGGAACTACATAGACCATGATCCTTTGCTCCATTTTGGTGCAAACTACATGAAGAAATAACAGTTCTAAGCATTTTTAAATCTTAGTTCTTTAAATTAAGTCTTGTCAAGGCATTTTAAGAGGAAAAATGTAGTATATTCACAATAAATATCGTACCATGAGAGGTATACCGTGAAAATATTGTACCGTGAGATTTGGATATTGTTACATCCCTACTTTTATGGCTTTTCTCCATGGTGGTGTCTTTGCTTTGCCTGGAATGTTTCACAGTATGGTATTAAACCTTTCGATCATCATGGAGACCAAACCAGACCAAGTTACAGGTCAGATCTGTGGATAGTCAACCCCGCTCACATTCAAAATGCAAATGGAATGTTGTAATTGAATAAATGTAAGGTAGAACTATTTAATGTCATACTGTGGAACATTCCAAAAAGAGCAATGACCTCTCCATAGAAACAAGCAGGTGACCATGAGCCCACCCTTCACCAGAAAAGTTATACAAAGCACCTTTAATTCTGCCACAGTAAATACTACTGCAAATACTATGACTTATCATTCAATAGATGATGAAACTTTTTTTTTTTTACTATATTGTAAATTTAAAATTGTTTTTGTGTATAATTCTGTTTCAGGTTTATCATGTCAGTGGCATAAATTAGTTTCAGTTAGGGTTGTTATCAATGGTGGATGAAGTGCTCAGTTTTGTTAGTAAAAGTACAGGTACAAAGATAAAAAATTACTCAAGTAAAACTAAAAGTATCACATAAAAAATCCACTTAATGTACCTGCTTATAATATACGTATAAGTATTTTGTTGAGATTTTACAACAATCAGAGAATGAAATGTAGTTATTATGAAAAAGAATGTAGCTGATTTTAAGTCTTAATTTTTCTAGCTGCTTTTGTGTATTTGTCAAAGTTGGGACGTAAACTCAGATTAAACGTGCTAGTCTCCACCATTTCAGTAGGTGTAGAACCATAAAGAAAAGTACTTTTAATAGTTAGTCCAGGTCTAAAATGTAGTAGAGTATAAAATATAGATACCTGCTCTCAAATGTAGTGAAGAAAAAGTAAAGTATCTACTGTAAAATGTATTAAGTAAAGTACAGATACCTAAAGTGTTGTAGTTTTACTTTTGCACTTTGTTACCTTCCACCACTGGTTATTATTGGCAAAATCTGATACGCATTTTTCAGGTATCGGTATCGGTTTTTAGCACAGTGTGGGAGTCGTATTCCAAAATGCTCCCTGCAAACATAACCACCTGTGCATTGCGTCAAACCGCCTCACACTGGACTAAAAGCAGCATGTATGGACGGGAGCTTTGAAGGGGTTATAATCATGAAAAAAAAAAAAAATGTTTTCCTACACGCTACCTTTTTTAATTTCCTCTCCCGGTGTTTCTATGGCAACTAAGAGCCCTTTTCTGGATACGTGTTTGTCTGCTGCTGATGCTCTGACGTCCATCAAACTGTCACTGTTACTGTGCTGGTTTCGTCTTGTATTTAAATAGCTATACCTGTGCAACGTTTACATGTAATATCACTAGAACCTCATCAATAATAAATGAGGACTGTTTCTTATCGGCAAAGGTGTGATTCACGTGTTCTACACCTTACATATCTACTATTACTACAAATAAACTTCTACTATTACTTCTAATCCAATACATTACTTCTAGACTTTCAACATTGCCTGGGAGTGCGAAGCTAATTGACAGCACTGCTCTGTTAGAATCTCTGTTACTCAAGTTAGATTTGAGTCTAACTTGAGTAACTCGAGCTTTATTTTAGGGAATCTGACCATAAAGAGCTGACTTGGCTGGAAATACAACAGGTGGGACTTTTTCTTGAAAATTGAACACCTGAACAGGACCATGAACGCTCGTAATGATCACAGGCTCTTGAAAATGTGTTGTTTAAATCCATTTTGTATTTTTTCTTACATTTTCAGACAGTCTTTTTATTTGCTAATGTGTGCAATGTGTCACCATGGTAACTGCTCAAAATTCCACCAATAGGGATTACATGTAGACCACCCCCAGCGTGATCAGTTATGACTACTACTCTTGCTAAAGCGACTGCTATCACTACTGCAACTACTATTACCTAGGACCTTCTATTAGGCACATATAAATGTACAGTACTACAGCCAACCCCAGTACATGAGGAGATACAAGAGGTGCTTCACCTATGGCTGCGTGCATGTCAACTGTTGCTAAGGAGAATATAGTCATTCACATTTCATGATCCCATGTTTCAAGGCGAAGGTACTCCTTTGCAAAAAATTTTTTTCATAGTATTTATATTTTCTATCTTTTAAAGTTTTACCTTTTTTTAAATATTTTTTTTTATCAAGTTTATATTTCAGTTTATCACAAGATTAGTAATGCCAAGACTAATCCAGGGTGTCACCAGGTTTGACTACCCAAAATTTAAGACCATTTTAAGACCGTTTTAAGACCACTTAAAGGAAAATTAAGACCAACATTGTACCCATTATGCGGGTGAAAAACACCAGATCCAATTCTAATAATGACTAATAATATAAAATGACCAAAAAAATCATTTATAACATTTTACCAAGACAAACTAAGTATCATTTGCACATACTACAAATTAGACGTTCATTTACGTTAGAGGTTAGGTTTGTTGTTTTTTTTCCCTCCCTCTGTTTAACATTGCACTGCAGTCCAGTTAAGTAAACAAAGACAAAAAAAAATAAGCTAATGCAATTTAAGACCTTTGTGAAAAAAATAAGACTTGGACAACATAATGTAAGACTTTTTAAGGCCTTAATTTAGGAACATGAAATTTAAGACCTTTTTAAGACTTTTAAGACCCTGCAGCTACCCCATAATCTCAATCATCATCATAAACATAATTTAGAGATTTAACATTAAAGGGTCCATATTATTCTATTTTCTAATTTTTAGCATAATAATAATAGCATAATTACTTAAGTAATTTTTTTGGCCAAATTGTGATATCTGCCTTACTCTCCTACCACTGCTGCATCACCCTGCCTTATTACATATGTCCTCAGCCTATCAGAACGCTTGTTAGAGTCTAAAATCACTGCCTCATCAATCTGCCTTAGTCATCTCTATACAATATCAATAAAAAATAGGAATGTGCTTGCTAAAAAATGTGTTTTTTTCTTGTATTCTGAAAATGCTTAAATATGGCTACTATGGTATTAGGCCAATGATTTCCTCCTCAAAAACATACCTTTAGTTTAACTTACAAAACCTGTATAATTACACCAGTCCTTCCCCAGTGGTGCGATGCCAGGGAGGGCGCATACGACCTCGGGGAGCATGTTTTTTTTTTTTTTTTTTTACTGTACTAAAATGTAATGTAAAGTGTAATTGCGCATCCACCGCAGTAGTTGACAGTGACGCTCTCATTGTCAGAATGTGTGCAGGGAATATTTGCGCTATAGTGTTTTCTGCACCGGGTTTTCTGCACCGAGCAAACGCACACACAGCACAGAGCAGGAGATATGAAGCGCAGCGAACAAACTGCATATAAAGCGTACGTAGTGCTCAGCTTCACAGTGACTACGGCAGGAAACGAAGAAAGAGCGATGTGTTTACTGTGTCTTAAAATGTTGGCAGTGGACAGCATGAAGACAAATAAATTACAGCATTGCTTAAAGACATTAGACCCCAATCTCACTGATAAACCACTTGAGTTTTTGCAGCGAAAACTTGCTGAATATTGTCAACAATCATCCCGCTTTGTGAATGCTGCTTCAGCAAACCAGTGAACACTGTTGGCATCGTTTAAGGTGACGTACTAAAACACGGACATCATCTTTAAAGACGAGGAATACACCGGGACTTGCTTTGAAGACGCGACTAAAACGTTTGCTCTCGTATGTAGGCGACTGAAGGCGAGATTGCGATTTGTCCATGTTTGGTAGTGGTTTTGTAAAGTGGAGGGGCGCGAAATGTTTTCTTTTTCCTAGGGGGGCGTGACAGAAAATTATTTAGAAGTTCTGATTTAAGTTAAGTTCTTCTCTCAAACAGAAAACACTATGTTCAACCGTGTGATGTCATGTGGTAATACAGGAAGCGCTCCAATGTGTTTTAAACTTCATACACCCTCACTAGAATCGTCTGGATAATCTGAACACTGGAATTGCGTTAAAGCTCTACTGAACTAAAAGTAAAAGGCAGCTGTCAACAAAACACGACAGGTATGTATTTGATAACGTAACAACATTCTAACATTCTAGTCTAGCTCAAAGCTCACTAGATCCAGCACCTCAAAACAGCCGTTATTGACAAAATCCGGTATGTTTTTGAAGTACGGTACAAAATGTCCATAGAGACATTAGCCAAATCAATGTTAAAAGTAAACCAAAGAGCAGTGGAGCTACTGAGTCAAGTAAATACATTAATCACTCTATATTCAATACTTTTGAATGAATGCTAAATTCTCTACAGAGTCAGATGATTTTAATTTGGTTTAGGCTAACTGACACCATCCCAAGCTCTATAAAGTGGTGACGTGTTTTAATGAACAACTTAGCAGCAGAGCATGCCGTTTACAGTAACACAATTTGAGGAGACAAAGCTGTGACTATGAGACTTGCGTAAGTTGGATTTGATGCTAAAGGACAATTGATTCAACATTACAAAGAACATGAGATAATACGATTGTGAGATAGTCTATAGATAAATGTCCACAACAAACAATGCAGACGTTTTCTTAGCTCTGGTCTCAGTGATCACAAAGGGATAGCTCCTCATAAGAGCTGGGACTCATGTGACTATGTTCAGGCGTTCACATCACACTGGTTTACATGAGGTGCCTGAGGAGATGGAAATACCCAGTATGGCTCAATTATATGCCTTTTTATTTCATTCAATTTAAGAACTGTACTTGCACCAAAAGTTGAGTTTAATGCCCAAGCACATTGACTACAATACCATCAGAAGTAGCTGTTAAAGACAATTATGGTATGGATGTCCTTGTTTAATAAGATAATAAATACACATAATTACATAGTGCAATAAGTTTAATTAGTAGAGCAGGATTCTGGACTTAAATGCAAACTAACATTTTCAGGTTCAACATTTTGATTTTCTTCATGAGTTTTCATTCAAAAATAATACCTTATTCATTTGTTTATTTTTTGGCTCATCTCAGATTTTATCTCAGAGTAATTGAAATAGATCGTGAACCCAGCCTACTGTATGTGTGTCTATAACTGGTTTGCATTAGATTCAGATGAATTGCTTGTATACAGTGTTAAATAGATGCACTTTTGTTTTACATGTGAGAAGACACATAAAGCCTGTGGTGGTTACCTTCCAGGTTCATGCCGGCCTGGAGGCACTTCCTGAAGCGGCAGGCGGGGCAGTTCTTCCTGCGGATCTTGTCGATGATGCAGTCATTCCTCCCGGCGCACAGGTAGTTATGTTGACCTGTGGAACACACAAGATAAACACAAGGTTTATGAGCTGAAGCTCAGACAAACTGATCAGGATCACTGATGCAGAATGGACCCTAGTGACAATATTGTCAGCAGGAATAACCTTACAGAGGATTTATACTGACTGCAGGGAGGGTCCAGTGCTTACTTTGAGCAGGTTACTTGCAGATTGCCTGTTACGCTAACTACCACAACTGTGGTGCGTATTTGACCATAGCAACACAGTGTCACGTGAATTCACGAGATATTTCATGTGTAATGACCTGAAAAAATCTACAGACCACTAAGATGCTCGGTAAAAATAGACTTCTTGCAGATTATTTCTGCAGACCTGCACCTCACATGCACTCGCACTCCACTGAGGTCAGTGTGGCAGGTGCATAGGTCAGATGTCAGTGTGGCAGGTGCAGAGATCAGAGTGGCAGGGTGCATTGGATTTAATGACTTTCTAAGGCTTGTGGGACCCTGAAGCACACTGCACCTGCAGCCAGTGTACATCAGGTGTGTAGTGCAGGACAGAGACACACCAACATCTCTTTTTCTCAAACTGATTTGAGTAATTCCCAAAAGGATGAATGCACATATTGAGAATACAATAGCTGAGAATACTAGACTTCTCCTATCCATGGGTTTCACATGATAAGAAGTGAGCACAGTTGTCATAGCAATTAACAATTCAAAACAAAATATTAAATGTGGAGAAAATAAATATGTGGCATTCCAATCAGTAAAACTGCCTGCTTAGGAGGCATAGGCATCTGTTCCCGATGCATCCCGGAATGTCCAGATGGATTAAATCAGGTAACACCAGACTTTAGACCTGGATTATACTTTATTATTATATTTTACCCATCCACAAGGAAAAACCAGACCAAAGACACACACTGTGCAAAACTTTATGTTACACAATTATGGAGCCCGACGAGCCTGACATACCACAAGCTAATATCACAGACAGCTTCACTTCCTCAGCCTGAGCCAGCATTTGCACTTGGGCCAGATCTGACCACACATTGACTGATAATGACTCTATACTACTCAATACAAACGCCCCTGTCGATTATGTCACTGCTGCTGCTGGCCACGGGGGAACGCGAGACTGCCAAAAGATTTCACTAACAGACGGAGCAGCACAGAGGGAAGAGCAGTTGGACCCAAGATTTGATTTATTTCAGACTGTGTATCCAGTTTAGCACGTTGATTCCAGATTTGAATACCAGAAGAATTACCAGAGACGTGGCATGGTTAGCAGCTGTGTGCGGGGATCATGGATAGGGACATTTTCAGTCTAAACAAATCCCGTAACTACAACTTTAGGTACATAGTGTTTTCGTCTGGGCTGTCTAACCCGTTGTTTCCCAAAGACTGGGTCGTGACTTTCAGGTGGGTCGCAAGAGTTTTTGTTTTTTTTGTCACCTTGTCATGATCTGCATGTAGTTCTGCAATATACAGTTCTGCCTATAAGCCTGATGTGCATTTTGTGCTCTCCTCCTGCACCCCAAACTGGAACACACTACAAAAACATATACTGTACTGTAGTAATTAAAGCTGCAATGATTCGTTGACGTAATTGACGACGTCGACTAGGAAAATACGTTGACGCCTGTAGAGAGCGCCGATGCGTCGCCTTTTAGATCTAAGTCTTAAATTAATGTGTCAGATATAATGGGAACAAGCACGCTCTGAATATCCGTACTGTATTTACTCACAAAGCAGCAGTGCACGTGCAAGACACACACAATAGACCATCGACAGAGTACAGGCTTGCAGCACCATGGACTGTATATAATAATAAGTGTAGTTCTTTATTACAGCCTACATATTATAGCATTAAGTAGCATTTTCTGTCCTTGTCTTGCTTATGTAACATAATCAGCATTATGTTTCTATAAGACAAAATACAGATACATATACTTTTTATTAGTCTCACTAATAAAAATGATGAAAGATTAATCTTAAAGGAAATTTTTGAACAAATTGCTCTATAAAAAGTTATTCACTGTATTTTTCGTACTATGAGTCTCACTTTTTTTCATGGTTTGGGTGGTCCTGCAACTTATACTCTGGTGCGACTTGTATATTCAAATTTTCACACTGACAGCCTGAAGAGGGCGCTCTAGGCTTGTGTGTCAGTATCTACTGCTCCTGTTACTCCTGTATCACTGTCACTTGGCTCTACTGCGCATGTCTCCTGTAGAAAGAGCCTTTGTCCTGTCTGGGATCATGCCAGTCCATCACACCTTTACTTCTGCACCACTGAAAATTTTACATGTAAACAAACTTATAAGGATGACTTAGAAGACTGAACACAAATGTTCCCCAAAAAGATCATTTTTTGCAGATGACTGAGCTGCAAATAGCAAAATATTCAGCCAAAAATGGCAATGGAGCAGCAGAAAGAAAGTTTGGACTCAGCAAGAAACTTGTGACAGGGAGGGTGTGACATGCAACTTTCCTGGAAATCACTGGATGGATCAACAAAGCCTGCACTTCAGTGGCAACCGAAACCAAAACTGTTCATATGTTACGTTAACAACATGTTGTTTTCTATTCTGTTGTTATTACTATAACTTGCCTTTCAAGATGAAATGTCGGTTCCTGGTCTTTGATTTTATAAAATAAATTTCCCAGAAAAAGTGTCTTATAGTGCAATTTATATATTTTTTTCTTCTTCATTCCGCATTTTTGGCTGGTGCAATTTATACTCCAGAGTGACTTATAGTCCGCAAAATATGGTAATTAACAGATTAAATGATAAATAGATTTGTAGATTAATCGAAAAGTGAGTCCTCAGATTAACTGATCAGAAAATAATCATTAGTTGCAGCTCTAGTAGTAATGTTGGCTACTTCTGGATTGATACCACAGTAAAAAACATGCATATATTCTGAATGGTCCAAACAAGCCATCACAAGAGTCAAGAGTTACAAGGGTCAAGGATCTACAACAAATTTCAACCGTAGGCCTAACTCGTATGAAAGCTTTGTGTGCTCAAATGCCTGTCATCTACCCCCTATCCCCACCCACAGCCCTTTATTTATTCGAAATTCTTTTAATTACACAAAATTGATTATTGTGAGCTTTGAGCCAAGTTATAATCCTTATAGAAACCATACCTAGACTTGTATTTTGTTTCATTCACATGTTTGAGAAATCATATTATTAGTCTGTCTACATCCTCAAAGCTCCAAATGCTCTGTACCACCTTGTGATGTCATGAATTGGTTGTTTTCAAGCTACCTTTTACTTTTAGTTCAGTAGAGATTGGCAGTTCCAAGGCTGAAATGATCCAAACGATTCCAGTGAGAGTGAATCGATTTTAAAAACACAGTGGAGCACTTCCTGTATTACTATATGACATTGTTGACATAATTTAAATTTGCTGGTTTTCTGTGTTAAACATGTGTAAATGAAACAAAAAAACAAAACTCCAGGTATGTTTTCGACAAGGAAACAACATTAGAACATAGATGGGACAATAATGTAATAAAACCGTGTTAAAATTAATACACCAGGTCAAATTAGACTCAAAAATATTGTGTAGGCATCCTTCAGAAATAAACACACTATATGCGTGATCATGTATTCCTAATGACCAAAAATAAACCTTAATATGTTTTCATTAAATAGGCCACGCGTTTAGAATGAAGTATCTTATATTGAATGTCACCACTTGCCACAACATTGCGCAAGGCTCAGCTAACAGCGGTGCGCTAATTAGCATGCTAGCCATCTCATTAGACCGCTAAGTCAAGTGTTTGGCATGGCTCTGGGTCTGGTTTCAAGCGGGTGCAGCTGAATTGAATTAGAAGATGTGCACTTTTCAGTAATAGCATTATGGTTTCTTTTCATCTCCTAGTGGCTTCAGGCTCGCTGGTGTTATATATAGGTTTCAGTGTGCGTCCGTCCCCTGGTGTATTGAAAGCTCATGACTTCGAGGCAGTCACATGAATTTGATATCGAGACATACCTCACATACAATACAATACAGGCATTTTCAACGTTTACTATCAGATAAGCACAATGAATTACTGCCGATTCAGAGGATAAAGTGAAGACGTACACACGAGAATAAAGAGACCGCATCACACAGGGTTAGGGAGTTTGTTGTGAAGGAATATGTGGAATGACTATGTGAATATGTGGAATATTATGGCTCATATTATGCTCTTTTCTGACCTACATTTCATCAAAAACATACTTGGAGTTGTGTTTTGTTTCATTAGCATACAAACTTTGCATATTTAAGATGAGTTCTTCTCTCAAACAGAAAACACTCTTTTCCACCTTGTGATGTCATGTGGTAATACAGGAAGTCAAGAAGCAGCTCTAACACTGAATCAATCGAAACACAACTGCGTAAACTAATGATGAGGGAACAGAGTTAAAACATGATTAGAAGCTTGTGGAAGTCCCCCTTAAACAGAGTGTGCAGAGAGAAGCTTTAGTAGTTCGGTGGACATGATTCTGCACATAGATCAGTGGATATAGGTCAGTGGACATGACTGCACATAGGTCAGTGAACATGACTCCGGACATAGGACAAGGTGGACATAGGTCAGTGAACATGACTCTGGACAAAGGACAGTGGACATAGGTCAGTGAACATGACTCTGGACAAAGGACAGTGGACATAGGTCAGTGAACATGACTCTGGACAAAGGACAGTGGACATAGGTCAGTGAACATGACTCTATGGACATGACTCCGGACATAGGTCAGAGGACATGACTCGGGACATAGGTCAGAGGACATAGGCCAGTGGACATGACTTGGGACATAGGTCAGTGGACATAGGCCAGTGGACATGACTTGGGACATAGGTCAGTGGACATGACTCGGGACATAGATCTATGGACATAATTCCGGTCATAGGTCAGAGAACATAGGTCAGGGGACATGACTGCACATAGATCAGTGGACATAGGTCAGTGGGTCAGTGGACATGACTCTGCACATAATTCAGTGGACATCAATGGACATGACGCTGGA